GAACTACCGTTTTCTCCGGTGAAGTGATTGCTTTCGGTCTCCGTGATAATTCACATGAATGGAACGAATGAAAGAAAGAACGAAAGAGTTGAACATACGGAGAAAAGTGACTGACAAAGAGGAACCACATTGGGAAAATGCCATATCATGGATGTTGGTCGGTGACACATGCTTAGTATTATGTCACTCAAACGAATATAGACGAACACACACACACACAACCAGAAACACTCGGCGGTTGATATACCATTTCAATTGTGACATTGTTCATGCACCTTGCACACGTACATTCCGTTTTCTTTATGTACTTATTAAAACCCATTCAGCTGTATACAGCGATGCCAGTGTGTGCACCTGTTGAAGTGGCCGTTATTACATTGTGTACTGCTGCGCACTTACCGTACAATCGAACCAGAATCAAAGATTGAATCAAATTACTTAATGACGATAGAAAGCAGCAAACATTTCAAGGAAATGAATGTTAGTTAACATTGAGAGCCCATCTCTGCTAGCCGTTGCCGTCTTCGCTGGAAATCATGTCGTTCAATTTTCTCCGTTCGAAGAAATGATATAACCAATGTTGATGCCATTGTATTGTTCTAGCTCGATGAGCCCACGTTGACCAATGATCCCAGCTAAGATATCGTACAAAATACGATCATTGTTTGTGTGTCAATGTGCTTTGAGAATTTGAAGAGAGAGACAGAGAGAGAAAAAACAAACACCGGTCTAAAACAGATCAACCGATTCATAATTTTGCCATACAGTGATTTTGCACCTTATGCGATTGGCTAAACGCTTCAAAGGAACACAGTTAGCTTTTATATACCTCGATTTTTTACTTCTTCTTCTGTCTACATTAACACAGCCATCTGAATTGTGCAGTTAGATACGAAACCAATCAATATTTTCTTCAAATCAAAAAAATACCATCGCATGATATATTCCATAATGATGAAAGAAAAATAACCTGCGAAGTTATTTGATTTTTGTCTCGATATCACACGTCATTTCACAACGATTCATCTGTGTAAATAGCCCGGAGATCAGATAAAACTGAAGAGAGAAAAAAACACACACATATATCACAAACACATGGCTCGGCGAGACATGTTTTGTCGCTGTAACAATCTACAGCTACTGAGCTACGCAGGTCGTTTATAAACGATTGAAGGTGATACAGAGACGAAAACTCGCCTTTATCCAATCAACATCCGGTTTAACGACGAACAAAAAAAAGAATCACAGATGCAATCTATGGCATCGAATTAAGCCATGCTTTTGGCACATGCACAAACAAACACACTTTGCCACCGCATCTGTGTCTCTTCGTATCATCGACTTTTCCATCTCCGCATTTTTTTATTCGAACCATTTCTCGGAAATGTATTTTGAATCTCTTCATGAAACGCAAAGGTATAAACTTCAAACAAAATGGCTTAGCTTACATGTTTCCATTTATCAAACGCTGTCCAGTTTTGTTCGGTTTATTTTCCATGTTTTTATCTTTTCAAATATTAACCACAAAAAGCATAAACTTTTTCATGGCATAAATGAAAAGTTCTGACGAGGAAATCTACTATTTTCCCACCAAAGGGAAGAAAACTCTGTCCAAAACATGTAAACCATTGAAATACATGGTCCATAGTGAAAGCGAAAAAACCTGATCAACTTTACACAAATCAATGCATTCATTTCATTTTCCAAAAGCTTTCTCGTTTTATTATTTACATGGAAAATTACACTTACGAGCACACGAATTTGCAATCCCCATTGATGTTATTGTCGGTCGGTTTTTGTGAATTTTTGATGAAAATCATCGGCATGGGAAAATAATTCGGATAAGGGAGAGAGAGAGAGAGAAGCGTGAAGGTGTGACGGGGTTTTCAATGTATTTTTTCCAACGCGCACCATATGTACATCTCAATCTCCCCCCCTCTCTCTCTCTCTTTCTCTCAATATATTTTCATCATATTTGCTGCTGCTTTGCTCCGGTTTTCGCATGTGCTTGATTTCGTTGTTGTCGTTATACATTTTTTATCAGGCTGATACTTATTTCCGACGTAGTCGAGTTGTTGCTCAGACAGTGTCATTTGACATTCGCAGACTACAGTCGGGCAATTTTTTTCCACTCTCACCACGCGTTGTCTCACTCTTTGCCCCTTTCGCTCTTTTCCCGGCTGCACGAAATTGAAAACATAAATCATGAAATATATGCAAATTTGTCATCAGGTTCGTAAAGAATATTTCCTGACCGGATAAAATGAAAAAGTCATTGAGTGAAAACAACAACCAAGCTAAAACTAATACACTGAGCCTCAGTGCATATAATGCTTGCTAAGCCAATGTAAATTGATGATGGTGAGCACGCAACAAAACTTATGCCGGATAAAGAATGCAATGGCCAAAACACTGAATGGATTTTCGTTGTGCATAATAATGCTTATTGCCAGTGTACACGATTTCGCTTCGTTCAATTCCCACACAACTTTCGATTCAATGGAATTTCACTTTGGATTTGTGTTGTGTCAGTGACGGAAGAGGAAAAAAGAATCGGTGTAGAATCACTGAAATCGATTGAAAATCAAACTCACTGCATGTACACGCTAGAAAATCAGTGTTTGGTGTGCCAAATTCATGTCGTTTTACGCTGAAATCCATTTTCCAACAAAATTGGCTTCGGTTGGTCTTTTTCTCCTTCGGTTTTCATTAAAATGCAATTGATGTTCGGTGCGCGCTTCAAACAAATCCAGCAAAAGTTTTTGCTGAGGCGAAGTGACTGTGTGGAAAAACGCAAAGCAACCAAATTGCAGCATTTCATGAATTCAATGGCTGAGATCGTTTTGTGCTTTTACATTTTTTAATGCATATCAAAAGGCAGACAAAGTAGCGGTGGTGTGGGAAAAAGAGTGTGTGTGAGAGAGAGACTTTATGAAATGCTCGCTGAATTGGCTGGCGTGCTTTGTAAGCACGAGACACGTTGCCTGTCATCGACTCCGGCTCTTTGTTTGTTTGCCAAAATCGCAAAATCCATTGGCATTCTGCCATATTTGGTGAATCAGAACGGAGAACGCAGTTGCATTTGCAATAACTTAACGATGTTTACTAGCAAAACGACTGCAATTTTAACGGGAAAAACACACTCGACTCTTCAAACGATACACAACCGTTCAAACCAACACCATGAGATGAGATTCTTACCAACATGCTCTAGATATGCATAAAATAATTGTTTGGATTTTAAGCTCGTCACTTCTTTGCAGAAAGCCATAGCAATTTGCCGCTGGTACGATGTGACAAAACCAATAATGGTTATGAAGAGTGGGTGCACTTCATCTCGTGTCAGCCAGAAAATTGAACATTCCATGTCATGAACTGCACATTTCATTTCAGTCAAGTGCTAATCATTGTCATTTTTTTTTCAAATCAAAGACAAATGATAACCGCATGCACAGCTCAACTTAAAAATGGATTCAACGCGTCAATTTTGTAAAATGCACTCAATTTGATTTATCGTATTGAATGGCAGCACATGCCGTTTGCTAAACCATTCCAATCTCCGCGCCTGAAAAGGTGCACATGCAATTCGGAGTTTTGTAACATCAGAAACCTTTGCCGTGATTAAATGCGCTCTAAATCACTTTGCCATCGTGTTAAATCTTATGCGATGGAACACGGGTAAAATGTAACCGAAAAGGTAGAAACCAATCCATTTGGAAAATTGAATCGGAGTTTGGAACAAAGATTAAGTAAAGGTTTGTTAGTTTGTTAATTGCAAATTGCATTCGGTTGCCCGAATGCATCAAGTGCAATGCCAGGCACCGGGCAGAAACAGGAACATTAAATTCCAACATATTCGTTCAAACACACCAGCCAGCGTACCTATTAAGACAAAACTGAAAATCGTTTGAGCTAGAAAGTGGCATAAGCCATTTTACGTTGCGTTGTAATAGTGCTAGATGGCTTGATGTAAATTGACGAGCATGCAATGCTACAAAATAAATGGCACTGAAGTTCACAAATGTTTGTTTTTACACACCTTGTTTCTTGTTAAATTGTTCATATAAATAGCCATTAGGAAATGCCAAAGCCAAATAAACAACGGCAACAAGAAGAGACCAACACAATATTAATTGTACTTGATCTACAGTTGAATGTTTGGTGTTGCTTTGGCGTTTTGCTGTTCTTGGTGCTGCTGCTTGGAACGAGTATTTGCGCTCGAGCTATACCCATTGTTGTGATTCGCTTTGGCCGATTATTTTTTGGTCGTTGCTGCGGACGTACACTTCGTGTATTCACACACAAACGATGTGTTGCGCATAAATTATGAAGTAAATCACTTTTTTTTGCACAGAAATCCATCTGCAAATGGCTTTTACTACATGCAAAACAATGTAAGCGGAGAAATTCTTTGTTCGTTCTACCGATTGAATGGATATGTTGCGCTTGACGCTTGGTAACGAACTGAAAGCAAGACGATGAGAGATGTCGAGATACCCATTTGCAAATATTTCATTCACTTTAACCCCAATGTTGAATTCAAATAATAGCCAGAAGACACGATCTGATATTTGGGAGAAAATGCAGTTTTCAATCGATACCATTTGCCGTTGGCCAACATCGTTACACTTTGCCATTTCACCGATGGTATGTCTTAATCCATGCAAAATTCATGCTTGAATTTTCAAATATTGTTGATCGAAAATTGTTGCATCCAAATGAAATGCTCCGGCAAAGAAGATTAAATTTTCCTGATTTTCCACATATCTTTGTACAAGGTAAGCACATGACCCTGCATTTGAGAGAGGCATTTCCAATATGATGAATGCCACTTTGGGAGATTAATCATCATGAATGACGTACACTTCATATTTTCATGAAGATATAGATTGAATATTTTGAGAGTTCATCATTTTTCGTACTAAAATGATGATGATTTCCGACCATTCATCATATATGGAAACTACTCACACAAATAAAGTCATACGCTTTCCCTTCGAAATCGAATATGTAAATCGAAAATATTTCATAGATTTTGTGCACTATTTTCTGAGTTCATCATTTTATTTCTTGATTACATTTTTTCCATTCCAATTTCTTGAATGAATTGAATAAAAGATTTGATTATTCGACAAATTTAGTTGATTGCAGTCACAAATGGTACCTCACAATTCTATCTTTGACACACTTATGCAAATATCTGAGTGTTTCGTCCGTTTCTGCATTCGCTTAGTTTGCGTTGCACACTGCCACCGTCTTCAAATATAAAAGTAAGAGTAGCCCAATCTTCAAACAAAGGTCTGCCACCACTATTGAAAATGAACCAACCATCGTTACCTCGAGTACCTTCTACACCATCAATGTTTGCACTTCTAGTTATTCTTCCGCTGGTGTTGAGCATGCCGACAATCGTGAAGTATTTGTTTCCAATATCTGAATTTGGACGATGGTAACAAACATTTTCTTCTTCGTTCAATGGATTCGTTCTTGACAATGACACTCTGCATTGGACAACGCCTGGTGGCTTCCACCCAGTTGCTTTGTCCCAGGTCTTTCTAATCATATCAACACCACAAGAGCCAGAGCCTAAATTGCATGTGCTTACTACGACTGCCGGTACAACGCCATTGCCGCAATCAACATCCAGCACTTGTCCACATAAGCCTTGTCTCCAAATAAGTGAACCCAAATTGGACTCTTGTCCCAGTGCTATTGCATCCCAAATACGGTAATTGCCTTCCGGCACTTGACAACCACCAGCATCTGATCTATCAGCCCAGAAGGTGCCTCTAATGTTATCCTATGAAGTGATTTAAGTTTAAGAATTTTTATGCTCAATTTTTAGGTGGTTCACAAATACTCACTTCACCGAAAACCTCCTGAATCGACCACAGTGCCAATGAATACAAGACCACGAATTTCATCATGTTTTTTTGTTCAAGTCTGAATACTTTCTTAGTCAAGTGAACAGAGTTTATATAGCAAATCCGAAATGGATAAATGCAAGGGATATGAATTCATTTTGGACAATCATCATTTCGGCGATGTCGAACTCTTTTATCAGTTTCCATGGTCCATGGAATTAAATTTGGGGTTTTATCAAACGAAAGTTCGAATATTTTTACTCTTCATCACTGGGAGTTTCAAAGGCTTCATATGTATATCATATGAATCACATGTTGAGGCTATTATATTTTCTTGGATTCTTACATGTTCAACATATCTGTATACGAATTTATCGCCGGGAAAAAACGCAATTTTGCTCATGAACGTGACCCATTTTTATAATTCATTTCGGTTTAACTTTTAATTGAAACTTAAGCAAAATTCTGTTTAAAATTCTTGTGATGACAAAGAAAAAAAAACCGATGATTAAAAGTCAGTAGCATAATTGATAAAAGCCGGCACAAAATTCAAGGGCAATTCATAAAGAGTGATGTATGTCTAGAATTACATCATTACTTTGATATGCAAACATTATTTTGATACTACTTTATTATTTTCAATGTACTCCCCCCATTTATCAAAAAAATATCTAATTTTCTATATAAACCCACTTAGCCCGTTCTTCTCCGAAGAATTTTTTTTTCTACTGAGTCGAACATTGAATCAAAGTGATGATGATCAAGTTCGTGCTCTTGTGTTCATTGACACTTTGGTCAAGTGAGGGAGTTTTTGGTGTAGTGAGTATAAAAAGGAATATACGGAAAAAAAAATTGTAAAGATTTAATTGAAATTACTTTATCTAGGATAGTATAAAAGGGACTTTTTTCGCTGACAAAGCTGAAAATGGCGGCTGTCAAATGCCCATAGCCAGCTATCGTATTACCGATGCCATAGCATTAGGACAAGAGACGAATTTGGGACCACTCATTTGGAGACAGGGCTTATGTGGACAAGTGTTCGATATTGACTGTGGCCATGGTATGGTGTCCGCTGTCGTTGTGGACACATGCAATTTGAACACGAAAAATTGCGGTATCGATATGATTAAAAAGACTTGGGACAAAGCGACCGGAAACCAGCCACCAGACGTTGTCAAATGCAAAGTTACACTGTCCAAAGCTAATCCGTTGAATGACAAAGAAATGGTTTGCTATCATCGTCCCGACTCAGACATTGGAAACGAATATTTCGTAATGGTCGGTGTGCTGAACACTAACGGCCGAATACCAAAAAGTGCAGACATCGATGGCCGGCCAATAACTCGGCAAAATAATGATGCTTGGTTTGTTTTCAGTAGTGGAGGCAAACCTCTATTCCATGATTCAGCGGTCGTTAAATTTACATTCGAAGATGGTGGTAGTGTGAAATTTAAATTGAGCGATTGCAAAAATGGTGGCGACTCCGTGCAGGTGTTTCAATAAGATGCTAACGGAGATGAAAAACATTGAAGAAACATGTCAAATAAATTACATTTTCTTTCCAAATCACACAGGAAGCTATGTTTTTTTAATGTAAAACTTCAAACTTCAAAAACTTCAATCAATAATCTCACCAAAAAATAATTTTTTTGACCGAACTCAAAAATATGGTGTTCTTTTAAAGTTTATGAACTTTTTCTTGGAATTTCTTATTGATTTACGAAGAGTGAGCTTATGAGTTCATTGTTGTGCCAAAGCAAAGCAAAGCCAATTGTTTGAAATACCAAATGATAAAGAGGCGTACATCATATAGTTTAATCATCATTATTTCGATGAACACTCGAAAAGTTAAGAATGCTTAATCATTGCTAAGCAAACAGATTTTGGTTGGAAATGTTAACGAAAATTGGCATGTGTTCTGATGATGTGCGAGTTCTTCTCCGATTTCCAATTTCCAATTATTCGAGTGGAAATTGTGAAATGTGACCGTATTTCGCCAATTATATAGACATCAAGTGGAATGGCAGGCAGGCGGCAACACAGCCGACAAACAAAAACCAATCGCATGGAAAACCCGGCTCTTCTTATAGCAATCATAAATCAAGGCGCCATCAATCATACTAATATATCGAATATCAACATCTTAAATTTCGTTTTGTGAAACGAAAAGAACGGACGAAAAAAACGATTTTTGTCTTAAATACTAGAGATTCTCGTGAAAAAAAAAATGTTTTCATTCCAATTCCGAAATGTTTCAAACATTTCTTTCTTGTGTTTTCATTAAAAAGTTCAACCAAAACCGCAAAAAAAAATCATAAACACAGGGATTGATTTTTGTTTTCTGCGGTGCGTGGCGCCGGCTTCATTGTCAAAAGCCAAAAATGTAAAATTGTTCGATTTTTCGTTTGCTTTCTTGTTTGAGCGACAAAGAGTGTGTTCACTTTTTACAGACATCAAAACCATTTCTGAATGTGTCATTCGTCCACTTACGTTAAATGCTTATTCATGTCAAATTGATTTTCATTCTCCTCAAGCCTGCACCCAAATGAGCTTTAAATTGACGTTGTCACACAAAATACGGTGTTCAATCAATTACCGCATGCGAAATGAAAAAAAAAACCAACGATGTCATTACTTAATCCGCTTTAATGGAATCAATTGGTGAACAAAGAAAGAAAAAGACGGCAAGAACGCAGCGACGATAAAGAAGTAATTTCGGTGTGCTATGGCTTCGGGCGGTAGCCGTCGAGTGTGGCATTCTCCAGTCAACAACAGTAGAAGAAGACGAAAACGAAAGAATCAATGAACAAATGCAGAAAAAAATTACGACCATTTTTCAAAAGAAATCGCAATTACACGAATGCGACGGTATTAATTTCGAAGTGATATCGTTTGTCATCGTGTAAGCTTGTTTCGGGCTCCGCATACCGACACACACATAAACATGTGAACGAGTCAAAAATGAATTTCGGCAAACATTTGTATTGATGGAAAGATTTAACGTCGAAAAAGAAATCGTCGTTTGCGAATAAAACGATTCGTTTGTTCTAGAAAACGGCTCAATCATCTTCTTATTCATCATTAAGACGAAAGCAAATTGGCATCATTTTTTGCAAACGATTGACTTTCTTCTGCTTATTTTCACCTTTTTCTCATTCGTTTGCATCAGAATCAATTGGTGAATCATTAATTATCGCTGAGCATATTGCTTCCCCCTCCAAATGTTCGGTGACACTCAACTGGAAATTCCAATTCGGAATCTCATTGAGTCAACATACTACACCACTGACCGAATAAATAAACTAAATTGGTCAAAGCCAAGAACAAGGCATTCGAAATTTGAGCACGTTATTAGTATTTGATTATGATTATACATGCAGACGAAGTAAGAACGAGCCACACGAATATAGGTAAGTAGTGGCAAAAGGCGCAACAAAAGCCAAATGCAGATATTCAGACGGGCAAAAATACGGAGACAATGAAGATGAACGCGTCGACGATAACAAAAGTTCGAATTAAAAGAAGAACAAATAAAAACGACTAAGAACGGAATGGAATGAAATGGAAGCAAACACACAAGAGGAAAGTCCCGCTGCGAAATACACATAATAATATAACGACCGAATGAACACAAAGTGTATACATAATTAATTGATTTGAAGAATAAAAAAGTGTGCACACAAATACACACACAGAAAAATCCGCAAAAAAAGAATGACAAACAAATGAAGAAACAAAGAAAAATCGCCGAAAAAAAGAACACATAACTAAAACGGTTGTTAATACCGGCGACTGTTCATAATACAGATTTGTTGAGTGGCACGAATGTGGGACAACCACTGAAGACGAACATTTTTTTGGGTTCAGTTTTTTCGATTGTCTCATTTCAACACTTCTTACCTTTGATTATCACCCTTTTATCTTCGTTTAGCCGCTCTTCAGCGTTTTCATCTGACAGCATCGTAATTTATGCGCGTTCAAACGGTTTCATTCCATTAAGATGTGTTCACCTCTCGGTTTTGCCACTCGATAGAATGATGACGTATTGCTGCGTTGCTGTTAGCACAAAAATTTGTGCCAGCAAATTGATGTGTGGCTCAAAGAATTATACATATTTTCGAATAAGAACAAATAAGTAAGATGGAAAAAACCTCCGTAAGATTAACGTGCTACACACTCATATTTGTCGCTCATATGGCTTCTTCTCTCTAATTATCGGCAGTTGTCTTCGACGGTTCCGTTCAATTTCAGACGTCGTATCACATGGCGCCAAAAAGTTTACCTGTTATCCGAATCTCTTCATCTCTCCTTTCCAACAGAGTTCCCTTGAAATGAATGCCAACGATTCGGATCTGTTAATTCTCATGTGAAAGTTGAACACCGAATAATGTAGTGGGTGTACTATAGCACCCGGCAAAAAAAAATACCAGCAGCAGACGTAGGCTCAAATGCGAGACAAATTGAAAATTTACCAATACATCAACCGAGAAGTTCGTTTCTCCTCGAGAATCAAAGCAAAAAGCAAGAAAAATTGAATTCTGCGTGCGATAAGATCTGGTATTCGTATTTTAAGGCGCGCACCGGGTTATGGATAGTGGTTAGCAGTGTGTGTCGGTGTTGGTGTCGATGCGAACGACATTTATCTCACTTTTGGTAGTGTTTTTGTTTTATTGATACCGTAAATCGCGTAGCATGTACCGCAATTTAATTAAATCAACAGCAAAAACACAACGAACGAAAGACCTATTTTCATTTTGTCGGATGAACCGAACAGAAAACGGTGCACAACCGAAATTGAAAATCCAACGATGCACAGCACAATTGAGGGAAAGAATGAAAGAAAGCAAACGCAAATATTTTATTAGCGTGAACGGTTTTCTTTTTTCGCGCTCTCTCTCTCTCTCAATTTCTTGCTGCTTCGAATGCGTCCAAAATATACGTAATACTTGTTGCTGAGCATATTTACATAGACTTAATTAAATTTCGCGAAAGAAAAGTCGACGACGATACCTCCCAATTTTCGCTCCGTATATAAACTGCAAGAATTTTCCAATTTCAAACGGCGCTTGCAAAGCATCGTTCTGTCGCTCTAATCGATGAAAAATTCAATTGTTTTGAATCGATTCCATTTCGAGTGTGTTTGTCGGCAATTCTGGAATTGACACCATTTAGATGGATCTATCGAATCGATTCGGTCTCGGTGGGCCTGTGCATGTGTTGATTTTGTGTTAATTTCAACGTTTTCTTTTTGCATTGTTTTGTTTGAGCTAGCGAACGAGTGTTCGTTTTCGTTGAACAGTTACATTTCTTTTTTTTTCAATTGGGTTTTGTTATGTAGCCGCTACTCGGATTTTTCGATTGGACAGAGAATGAATTTAATTAATTACAGGCAGAATCGAATGCAAGCACTTTGCGAAGTTTTTTTTCTTCTTCTTCTTCATTCTATAAACGGATTTCGAAATTGGATCAGTAGTCTGATTATTTTTATTTGTTGTTGCTGTTCATCAATTTACACAATTGTTTGTTTTGTAGAACACATTTCGTTTAAATCCGACTAATTGTGATTAATGCCGAAGAAAAAGACGAATTTAGCGAATTTCCCAAATACAATCGTATTTCTTTGGAAGCGTCAAAAATCTCGACTCGGAAAAATTTCGATAATTGTTCGTTGGCTTCAGCATGTGAGAAACTATGCAATCAAGCCTCGACGAACGATGCCAAAGCTATTTGATGCATTGCATGCAAGAATTTAGACGTTTCGTGCTCATGTGCGTTTATTCTAGAGAAGGAAAAAAATCTCTTTGGAAATTCAGTTTTCATTCATTTTATTGCCGTTTTCATTTTTTGTTTCATCACTTCTGCATTTTCGCTACACCATTTTTTCCACCGTTCGTCTTTCAATCGCCAGCACAAACTCGACTTTGACTCGCCTAACCCTCGTGAAATTCTCTATTTCATGTATGGGAAAACGCCTAAATGACAGTCGAATAGTGAAAAAAAAGAATGCGACGCAAGTTGGTTGCTCTGGTTGCTCACAGTTAAAGTGAAATGGCCTCGATTACTTTAGCACCTTGTAGACGAAGTAAAAATTAATTACATTGTTTTCTCTGTTGTGTATGAATTTGCGTTGCAATTAGCTGGGTCGAGCATCAAGAACATCGCGTCTTCAATGTAGTTAACACAGAAGAAAAAAAATGATGTGTTATAAATTAATTTATGGATTATTCTGGTTACAAGCTTCTGTGTACGCGGTATTCGCTCAACTTGTATAAATGTGTGTGAAATATTTCAGAAATGAAAAATGTTCTGAAACATTCTCGACTCCAAAATGAAGACATGCCTCGATGACTGACTCCATCAGCATATAGAAAGTATTACAAATAAATCCATTCCACTTTTGAAACTCAGCGAACAAAGCGTCTGAACGAACAGAAAAATCAATGAAGAAATTATTGGAGCTGCACAGCAAACGATCAAGTTCATGACACGGTGTGTCAATGTTACGCAGCGGCTAAAAGTAGGTGACATCATAAACGCGTCGTGCACATAGGTATATATGTACAAAGTTGTGCAGCATGAATCAATTGGCGCTCGTTGCGGACCAAAGCCATCACGAGCCAAACAACATTGTGCCATGTGCCACATTCAATAATAATAAATATTATTCTAATTATATTACATCAAATTGTGATTGGGAATAAAAACGATGCGGATAATTCAGTGTGGTATTTTGTGTCGTTCAGCCGCAAACAAGCAGACAAATCAACTAACCAACAAACAAACAGAAAAACTTGTATGACCAACTCGTGCGACCATTGGCACACAAAAGTCAAAATTGTATGCTTAGGCAATGGGCATGCAAAAGCGTTGATTCGAGAAACGAGATGCAAAAAAAAACATCAATATACCAAACAAGCTTCAGGCTTTGTGGATTATTGTTTCGAAAGCCAATCGAAGACGGGGAAAAAATTGTTTAATGAAAATAATACCTTCTTGAAACGAAATCTAACGTATTACACAAAGCATCGGATCGATGCAGACGCTTAAACGAGAAAATGTTTATTCGTTCTTTTCCATGCAGTTTGCTTTTACGGCTATATGCGTAAAGCTTTGCGAGATGGCAAAGAAAATAACACGACACGACACGAAATGAAATGGCATGAAGGAAACCAGACTGAAATTCCGTTAAATGCAATGTGGTTTGACAGTAAATTGGTTTTTGCATTGTTGTTGTTGTTGTTTTATTCTTCTGCTTCTTCGCGAAGCTTTCTCGTGTTGCATTCGCTTTAGATTTTGTTTGTAGGCTGTGCGCGCTGTGTGTAATTCATGAGTGAAATGCGGTCGATCGATGAATAGAATGCGGAATTATTGGTGGTATTGAAATGCGCCAAGTTCAAAATATGGGTCAATTTATGCAGAAGTTCACTTTTTTGGGGCCACATCGAGTAGTATATGCCAAAAATTATAGGCTGCCACTTTTCGACAGAAATGATTGGCGATGCAAAACATCGGTTACATTGTTACAGGCGCAAACAGTTGCAGCCGCTGCAGCAGTCAATATGAGTTGATTGGGCCACAAAAGCTGCTGTTATTGCATACCTAGTCATTTTCGGATTCTTCTATATTTCGCTTTGGTTGCATGTGTGCAAAAGAATGGAACAGAAAATCGGCGGTCCATTAAATTGATTGAGTTCAGACAGAGTTCAGTTCAAACGCGGTTGCATTGCGTGCATTTTTTTGCCTTCTACGAGTGGAACTCATGAATGAAACAAACCGAACAGAAAAAAAATTAGAATGTTGTACTCATGAGCGGTATTGATGTCATCTTATTTGATTATTAAAGTTCATGGTGTTCATTAACTTGTTATTTTTTTATCGTCTCTGGCACACGGAAACGGAGTGTGTGTGTGTGTGTGTTCGTTTTTTTTCTCATATTTAATGGGAAATAAACAGTGAACAAGAGTTCATGGCGCAGCGGTTTTTCGGATACACTTATCTTCTTCCATTTTTTTTATACATCTATGTGTGGTTGATGCCGTTTCAAACGGAGTATCAAAACAATGCCAATGCAAAACGTACGAATAAAAAAAAACCGAAGAGATAATGATTACACCAATGAGGCAAGAGAGTAAATTATATATGTGTTTGTATGCGATTTTCCATGCATATACCGCTAGTGAACGCACACACACACAACATATATACAGAACTAACGGTAGTGGTTTGATTGTGCTTAAATGCATCGAGCGCACGCCGCACATGAATTCGTCTTATATGGGTCTTCTTTATATTTGCGGTTAACGATAACAACGGCAATAACATAACAAATCAAATGGCTTATGCTTCAGTTGCAGTTTTTCGTTAGCTGTAAAAGAGACAAGAAGGTGAGAGAGAAAAAAAAACAAACGCACACACACACATATGGGACACGTAAAGATACGAATCGGTATCGCAGGCTAAATAGGTGCCGTGCAAACATATAGTCGCTCTCGAATAAATAGCACAAAAAATAAGACATTTGCATCGAATGGAAATTTCATATCTTTCGTCTAAATTATATCTTCTTCCCAGACCGTTTTTGTTCGAGTGCTTGCACCCATTTGCGTACGAGCGATTCGAATGGAAAGCAAATTGGTCGGGAGCGAAAGAGATTAGATATTGAAACCAGATAAGCCATATACCAGTCGGTATACAATACGTTGTGGTGATAATGTCAACCGGTGTCTGTACCGTAATCAATACACATAGATTTTTGTCCAAACAGAAGCTCGAGCGACGGTAGTTGGGTAAACATGGGATGATGTTGCCAACTCAATCGAACAATGCCCTCGGCGGTATCAATAAATTAAAATATGCAAGCGCATCCGATCACCGATCCGATCCACTCGAACCAATAAATAAACCGTACCAGAGACCACTTCTATTCGTCGTTCTAAATATAGAACTGGAATTTATTCATGTTGATTTGTTGTATAATAATGGATGCTAACCACAGCTAGAAAAAATAGTTATTAGTCGTCATTTATTTTGCTGCTACAATAAAGGAAAACCAGTTTATTCGTTGCACGAATCCCTTCGCCAAGATGGCATGCATTGCAATGACAACGATGAAAAAAAAACGTCGAGTGACGGACGCGATTTTTCTTACACATATTCCAATTCATTACACAATTCAGCAGAAGTGGAGGCGCGTGTGAGTATTCAATCAACAATGATGAGGACAAGTTCAAGGTTGTCGCTTCGATGCGTGCTAATGCGCGACAATCCAATGCCATTTTCCTCCAAACAACTCTCTGCTCCTGCAACAAATATAGATTTGGCATTTCATTTTTGGAGCGTTCGCTCACATTTTTTTTCGTTCATTTATTCGATTCGTATACTGTATGTGATTTTATCGCATTCTATTTTCATAAAAGTACAGCGTCAACGACAATGTACTCCCAAAGGAGATTGAATTCGAAACATAAAGTTGTTGAATGTTGAATGCCACAAGAAAGTTGGCGATGTGCCGTAGAAAAGTTGTAAGTAAGTGCGCGCGCTTAAGCAAGTGAGCAAGTGAGTGAGCTCGAGCAAAAAAGAGAAAGAGGAATTCTCCAAAGAAAATGTTGCCGTGATGTAATACAAGTGTGCCATTGTCAAATGGATATACAAGTACGTATTCATTTGAGCTCCTTTTAAAGGAAACACTTTCTGATGAAAAAGTAATTTGTGCCTGCGGCATTGCTTTAATTAAATTAAGAGATCCGTGCTGTTTAGAAGAACGTGACATTTTCAACCAAACACACTCAAACTCACACTGGTTCAGTGGTGTTTCGTTAAATTCGCTGGATTCAATCAATCCAAACCGATAAAAACACGCAACACAAATTTATGGAGCTTCACATTGAAATGAAGGGAAAACATTTATCATTTCAACCGAAGAGTTTGATGAGCGGAGGATACCAATGACATTGATTGTGGCATAGCCTCAATTGATGCTCAACAGACGCTCATTAGAGTGTGCTCAATACAAAGTAGAAAAAAAGGAAATGGATTGGTGACCGTCGTGTGCCAATGGGCAATTATAAAATCCGGCCTGAAAATGCGGTTGCTATTAATGAACAACATCAATCGCAATCAATATTTCTAAGCAAATGTGCTAAGAATGTGCAAAAGACATTTGAATTCTCGACTGGAGGCGGAAATTTTCACAAGAAAAATGCTGACATCTTCAATTGAGCACGGTGAATACAAAGTGAAACACACCTATATGTGATCACATATGATTATCCAAAAAACTTGTTACATTTTCAGCTGCTCACGATAATTGTGGCAATTTACCATGAAATCATCTATCATAGAACATGATAGTTGAGCATTTTAATTGGCAGGAAAATGATGCAAAACGGTTTCGAAAAAGAACGGAATCGGTTTCGGAATTGTTGTAAAATAATAGTTCGGTGGAAACGAATAACAACGGCATTTTATGTTAATTGTGTCAAAAGGACTGGCGAATTATCATCATCATTCACGTTCTTGACGCTGACCCATGTCAAGGTTAAATGCAACAATGAATGGCTCTCTGGTTTGGCATGTGTTTGTGTGCTTGTATGTTTCCAATTTCCGAGTATAAACAACATCAATTTACAACTTTTCCGTTTGGTCCATTCATTTGGGCGCTCCCCGAAACAATCAGGAAAATAACGGTGTTTCTTCCCATTATTTGTTTCTGTGTGCCTGTGCAATCTTATTGTTTTTTTTCTGCCTATCTTCTTTTCTTTTTGAATTATGGGAATAACGTTGAGTTTGAGAACGCGAGAGAAGAGAGCGTGCGCGCTTCTTTGTTCTGTCTCTTCAGTACACGAAATGGCCCAACAAAACTGCATTCGCTTGTCAGAACGTTTCGTGTGTTCTATTCTGTTGTTTTTTTGTTTACAGTTTACCTACCAGTCATAAATCAGTCTATGATATCGTACAAGTAATTTCTGCAATGTTGGAAATTAGCGTCTTTTCCTATTTGGTTCGTTTGTACTCTCATGTTCATATATTGATCGTAAATGGGCCGGAATAAAGAGAAAAGAAAAAAGATTGAAAAAAAACCGTTTTCGCAAAAAAAAACAAAGAGCTGCGGCAAAGTTGGCAGCGCTGAAAAGGAAAGAGAACCCAGCAAACAAAAAGCATCACATATGCGAAGAAAACAAATGTTTCTATTGATCGAAGAAATGCAAATAAAAAATTATTTTCCAATAAAATTTATAAGCCGTCTTTTTTGAAAGTGACAAGTCGTTTGTGCTTTTTTTCGTGTTTTTATTTTTTTGCTGCTTCGGCCATAACATAAAATTTTATGTTCTTGTTTTCATGCGGTCCGTTTTTTCTTTCACCATTTTAGTCGGAACGGGCTATGAAACTATTACCGTAAATGAGCCAGAGATCATTTTCCTAGCAACAGCAACAGCAGCATTGTGGTAAGCAAAGAAGTTGCGAATCATCTGAAAAGTCATATACGTGTGTGAGTGTGTGAGTGTGAGAGCTAGAAGCTGACGCAAAGCATCACCATATGTGTAGACGGTTAGTTCAATCGATGGGTTAGTTGCCTTACGAAGGTCATGTAACTTATATGAGATTTATTGGATGCGAAGTCTGAACGAAAAGCGTCGATAAATTTGAAATTGATACCATATGTATTGTAATTTTAACCTTAAAGTCTTCGACACAGTATTTATCTACAGCGTTACGCTCCCCCATCGTCGCCCTCCGCCAATTCAAATCGGTGTTGCGAGTGAGATTTCGGAATGTAATGCGTGCGTTGTAAACCTTTTTGACTTTGCTTCAATTTATTCGAACAACACACTATTCACAATCAATTCCATCAAAATCCCTGTATCCACATCGACAAGTCATTTGGATGCCAATATATCAGTTTGATGGGAAAATCGCATGAATTACGACTCAATCCAGAAAGTGCTTGTAAAATGTTTGAAACAGTTTCTTGGTGGCTTAACTTTTTTTCGGGGAAGAGAAAAGAAAAGTTTATAATAGCTTTTCTCTTCTAGTTCCATCTGTATGAACTAACGCAATAATAAAACATACACTTTTTCCACTCAACAATATCATATCGTCAAGCGACCACCGCCACTGCTCAAACTGTTTTTGATGTTCTTGATGCTTGGTTTGTCGTGGAAAAGCAGCGGGTACTTGCACAAGGCAGATTGCAGATGAATTTTCCATCTTTGCACATTTTGCAGCAACAGATACAAAAACTGTACCCATAACACCCAGCAATAATCATAAATTTCATTCTATTTCACTTCGTTTATAAATCGACCATTTCTCGGGATCATTCGCCGCAATATAGTCTCTCACACAAACACAAATGCGCGCGCGCGTAGAGCAAAACATGGGAGAGAACTTTTCTATTGCATTCGTTGGGATGAAAGCCGGGCGAGAGCGCCCGAAGATGCCATCGAATAAATGGCTAAAAACTAATAGCAATGTCAATGGTTATCTTTGCATCTATAACTCATGATTTTTCCCTCGCACAAAAAGAAAGGAAGATTAATGTATTGGAAAAAGAGGGGAAAAAACGCGCGCGACGAGTGAATAAAACGAAAGCGACTGTGAGTTTTTTTTGTTTAGTTTTGAGGTGGTCATACATACACACACGAAAGAATGAATTCAAATCGCAAAAGAGTTGCAAAAGAGAGGAATACACAAAAACGTACCAGCGGAGAAATGCAATGGAATAAGCACATTGTGCCCGATTTTGTGTGTGCTGTTCGGTTGGAAATTGTCGTACGCCGTTGTGAATCAGGAACACTGAATTCCAATGAAAAAGAAAACACACTGAATGTGTTAGCAATTCGAGTCCGGAATGGTGGCGATAAGCTGCTTTTGTCATTCACCCGCAGTTGTAACCAGTTATTTATTTGCGAGGTTTTTTTTCACATTTGACTCTTGCATCACGCTTCCCTTTTACCCAGTCTGTCTTTTTTTTCAATTTCATTCCACTGGATAACACACACCACACACACTTTGCTGCACAGCCGATGGATGAATATACACATTTTCATTTTTATTTATTTGCGCTTTTTTCGCCTGCAATGGAAAACAATGAACAATGTCAGATGTGATGTGAGCCACATCTCCGAATAACTTTTAAGTGATAGATTTATAGTCAACGAATCACTAATAAAATATTAATTTTACTTTTTGTTCCCTTATATGCTCGCGCTATCCATCTTTCCACAGAGCATCCGCAGAAGAAACGGAAACGAAAAAAAAAACCATCGAAACACTAGGCACGTAGAACAAGAAAATTCTTATTTGCCTCTTTTGGATGCATACAACAAACGGAAAATTTATGCGACACACCATAAGAAACGAACAAACAACCAAACGTACGAATGAACGAAAGATGAAGACATTTCCAACATAGAAACATAAAAATGGTCTGCTTGCAATGGCAACAGCAATACCTAATTCTATTTATTTTAGTTCATGTGTTTTTTTTTTTCAACGGCAGCAACCAATGCATTTTAACATGATGGAAATTCACTAGAATTTTTCTTTCTATCTCCGTTTCTTTCTTTGTCCTTGTCCATACTTTTTGTGGACAAAAACACTTTTATTCGCTCTCAAAGTAACGAGTGAGAGAGAGGGAGAGAGAGAGAGAGAGAGAAGATGATGAAAAATTTGTTATTTGCCACCACAGTAGTGGATGTGACACTGGATGCGATCACTGACTCACGAACCGAGAACAATTTATTCTGGGAAAACCTCAATTGAATACAGAACAATTTCCAAACGAAACTCTTTATCGTCTAATAAAAGAATTCGTACCCATAAATAACCGTTGAATGGTGCATAAGTTTGAAAAACGGACACATTTTGACACTAAATTACGTAAATCGAACTGTGAAAAATTTGTTGTGTATGTGTTCTTCTCCATTCCAATGTGGGCAAAATAACAGCGGTCTGTGACTGTCTTTGTGCATTCAATTCGCTGGTTGTAAATCAAATGGCCAAGCATTTTGGATAGAGAGCACAGCACAATGGGCGATACCGATGTAAATTGCCCGTGATGCTTATCAAAATTCACAAAACCAATAATGAGGCTAATCTGAATGGAAATGGCAATGGCAATGAAAAGAACACTTCAAACTTTTACAGATAGAGAGAAAGAGAGACAGGGACTTTCGAACAATGCATCCAATTTGCATGTGTTACACATTCACAGGGCGAATGCATAGCATGAGCGCGCAACCATTGAAACGGCGTACATGAAGAGCGCGATGGCCAATAATTCATTATTGAGTGTCTGTCGGACGACGTTTGGGCACACTTATCTGGCATATTTGCACGATATAGATATAGGGAAAGAAAAAAAAGAATCGAGCTACATACATGATTCGTTCCAATCGGCGTCTTGGCCTCTTTTCCACCATTTTTCTTCTTCGTTTTTTTTCCATCATTTGCAATTTCAAGTGCAAACCTCGGATTTGCATCGGAATTATCTGCAATTTTGCCTCATTATACACTCACTCACTCTTGGTTGGTTTTTTTTTTATTTGTTGCTGAGTTTTGTCTGCGTTTTGTTCTCAACTGACCGCATGTCTTCCAATTGCATTGGTGTCTATAATGCGGGTACAAAAAATCGTTCACAATTTTGTGCTGTGTGAGTTGTCTGCGTCTCTTTTTTTGCACGTCTTATGTCTTCTGTGCTCGTTTTCATATCCAGATAGATTCATTCTGACCACTTTTTATGAGCCACTTAGATGGTGAGAATGATGTGCGCGCACAATGACCGAAAGAAAAGTCAGCTTTTAGACTCATCTGCCATGAAAAACAAAATAGGATAACGAAGTAAAACTATAAATAGCCCTGTCGACGAATACCTCGAACTAATTTGAACGCGAATGTCATTCAGTGTGCGCTGCCGGCCGCGAGTTAGAAATCGATTGACGTGCAGCAAAGAGGATGGTGAAACAGGGTATGAAAGCGAAACAAGAATATTGGAATAATTATGAAAAGTGAAAGAAAGAGAGACCAACAACTTAATATATATAAACATTGTGCATGGAATTCGCAAGTGGTTCGTTGCTGCGTGCGGATTCTCAATTAAGTCCCCATTCTCAATTGATTCCAAAACCGACGCTTATAATTATTTTATTACATTCAATTAAAATTACACCATCTTTCTGCCATTACCAACACAAACACACTAACACACCACCGATTACTCGGCGACCATCCAAGCAAGCGTTTTCATCGTAGTCTTTAACTATTACAAATCGGCCAGTTGTTCGCAGTTTTCAACAAAAGTGTCGAGAGTTTATTCTCTTTGGTCACACGACTGACTCACTCTTTCTCGCCCCGTTGATTGCATCGACCCATTGCCGCACACCAAATTGCAGTTCACACTATTTTTTGGTGCACAATCAATTTGCAACAAGTAATTGAGGCAGTACCACCTTTGCTGTAAAGCAAAATATCTTCGGATGTACTTCAATGGAATGTTTCTCCCTGCGAGATACCTTCACATGGAAAAATTCAAACTGATTTTTATTCTCCTTTTTTATTCCCCGGTGCTAATTCATTTCGTACGTTATTGGCTGCTTTGAAATTTCCGCCGCCGCCGCTGTGTGTTATACATTCGGCGAGATTGAGCTACTGTTAGATGCATCATCCGCGAACGACGTACAGAAATTTTAATTACACCACATTTTTAATGACTTCAGCTAATAACATTCATTGCAATTGGTCTCAAACTTAGTTAACCATACACCGAGTCACATTTTTCCACTGATTCACATTTCTTTGTGCTCGTGCATTCTTTTCTCTCCATCATTCGTCCCTGCCTTTAATAGCAGAAAAGTTCTTTTATCTGGCGGCAACGGAATAAATGGCAAAGTGTTTCATTTTGATGGTGATGACACTTATTAGTTTCAACAAAATGTTTCGTATAAATATTTGAATTTCATGAAGCATTTGGATGGAAATGTTTTCTGTGCAAGAGACACAAGTTCCCATTACAACCGAAATCATTCATTATTATTATACCCGTCGGAGCAATGAGTTTAATGTGGCAACAGGGAGAGACAGAGTGTGTGTGCATTTATTGTTGTGCTGAGACTTGAAACGAGCGAGTTGATGACACCAAATGGACATAATATGACGAGTGCAACGAACAAAATTGCATTTCGATGGTATCCCTGACAAGCGACGTCTCGCACAATAACAGCAGCAAAAAAATGCTGGCAATACAAAACAGAATACAAATTGAGAATCTATCACAAAATACAGTCAACAGCAAAAATGTTTCGGTTTAATTTGTGACAGAGAAACGCTGGAATGCAATTTCATTTCACATTTCACGAGACACAGAGAAAGAAGTCAGCATCAGAACAAATGCAATATCAAATGGAAATGATGAATTATGGCAACTTTTGCTCGCTGCAACGCAAAATGCGACCAAGAAACCAGTCATAATTACATTTTACGTGTCGTATTCTTTCTCAGCTTGTCACATAGATAAAATTGCATCATTCCAAATGGCAAACGAAATAAATGTCTTGGCAGTAGTGTGTTGTGCACGGGTGCACCGCGCGCGAATGAGATGGGGTACCGCGAGAACTGAGGATGCGAGATATGAATAGGCGAATACAAACAGCAAGATATGAGGAGGCCAAAGTGAATGACAGCAAATATGTACATGAGGAAGACATATGGCACAAAGACTATTGAAATCGATTTCGCAGAATTATTTTATCAAATAAAAATCCAACTTAGATGTAAGGAACTTGTCATGTCTGATCACAACTATTTTAAAATAATTTGTCAAACTCATAAAGGGTATAAAAGGGTGAGTGAAGAAACTAAAAGCCTCAATTCTCAAAGAACCTGCACGCAATAAACTTCTGAACAGAAGAAAAATTTGCGTTTCAATTTTGCGTGATGAAAATTTGCGTTTGTGTAATATTTCATCCGTAACTGGAGAGTCCAGCAGTTCAATCCGTTGCTAAAAAATTTTAAGCTCTAATTCAAAAAAGTCAATCAAATAAATCCAGGTCACATGGAAATTCCTTGAAAAACCTATCATGGAACTGAACCAGCCCTCTGACGACAGTTGGACAGCCCAAAACAATCCAAATATTCAAAATGAGGCATCAATCAATTGCGAAAGGAGCAATCCATGGATAGACACTCAAATGGGAGGCTCTCAATCTAAAAGATGCCATACTAAACGAAAATCCACATCAAAGTCACCTCGAGTCTGTAGAATACCACAAACTTACCGCCAATTGAAGTCGCTGAGAGCCCGTAAGGCAACACAAACCAACCAGTGTTCACCGCAAAATGCTTCAAAAGCCGAAGAAGAGTATAACAGTTCCTCCAATACTCATCCAAAGAACGATGGGGAAGAAATCCTCATTGGCAATAATGAGATCAGTGAAAATTCCCCGAAACCAAGAATGAAGAGGACACTCGCCTACCTCAACAACATCAAAGGGTTGTTGGGCCAACGAAGAAAATCAACGACTGTGATCGAGGGCAATATTGGTGCTGGCAAAACCACGTTGATAAGACACCTCAAGTACCTGGGAAATTTCAATATACGGACAATGCAAGAATCGCTCCAGCAATGGACGAACATACAAAGTTCAAATCTTTTGGATCTGGTCAATTCCGATCCCAAAAAATGGGCGAGCACATTTCAAATGTTTGCGATAATCACAATGGCAGAAAACCACATCCAAGAGTCTCCGGTCCCAGTAAAAATAATGGAACGATCCATATTTTCCACAAGATATTGCTTCGCTGAAGTCCATCGTCACCTGAAAAATATTGATGAAGTAAACTTCGAAATGCTTAACAAAATCTTCGAATTCGCCGTCCATCATACGCTTATTGACATCGACCTTATTATCTATATTCAAACGACTCCAGAAGTAACATACGAAAGGATTAAAAAAAAAGAAACCGAAAAGAGGACGAAGGGATGACACGCGACTATACAAAACTAATCCATCGTCTCTATGAAGAATGGCTCATCGAGGAAAAATTCACAATGCCAGCCCCGATGATCAAACTAAATGGGTATAAAAACCCGTTAGCGATCTTAGAAGAGCTAGAAGAATATACACATTATCAACACCATCAGAAGAATACAATACAAGTTAACGTGGCAAAACAAATTCGAGAGCTATACTTAAAAAAAGCTGCAAACTCCATCGCACAAACAAAAAAACCAACAAAGTCAATAATCAAAATGCCACCAATATCGACCAGTGCACTCGAAGCATACCTCAAAAATCAACCATCAACAAGCTCTCACTCACCTAACTAAAAAGGCTTCCAAAGTCATCTTTTTAAAAATCCATTAAAATTTTTCAATAGTACCCAAATATGGTATAAAAGGGCGAACCCAAAATCCCCAGTTCGGAACCAGCGTGACTTTCGAAATAAAACAAATATTTGTGTTTCAATTGTTTGGACAATTTCGGTTCCTCTCTGGACACCTATGTCCTAAACTCGCGCGTTCGCTTAGTCACTGATGGCGTCGTTTGCAAAGAAATGAGCAAGTGTCACATTTTACGTCCAAAAAATGATTAAATAATTTCCAGTGGTGTGATGATACTGCTTCGGTTGGAGACTTTACTGCTTTATTATCAGTCCACAGAAAAGTTAAATCGCGCACGTTTGCCATTGCCAACGCAACTACGTGACAAAACATCTGATGACAGTCATTTAAAATGTGAACTGGTGTGTGTGCGCCGGCGACCTCATGTAAACGTCACAAAAAAACTTGGAATTGAAGTTACAAATAATACGAAGTGTATCCGTTTGGCTGCATTTTCATCGTGGACCGTTTGTCATCACACGAAATTGTGTAGTAAGTCTTCATGACACGCTGCGTGAACATCAAGTTTAATATTCGTTTATCTGAAAAGTTTAATTACATTCCGCAGATATTTTATAGTTCATATCATGAAATTTGTTGCTGTAACTTGTTTTTTTTAAAGCTATTTTATGGCCATTTTAGCATTGCACTCGACATCAAACTCTTGCAAAGAATGCACTCTTTTTATGGGTGTGCACAAAACGTACGAATGTGCGAGCGAAATAAGATTTATGCTTTGCATCATTCGTATTTTTCATCATTAGCCCGACGAATTAATTTTATTTGTGTCGTTTCTCTCTCTCTCCCTCTTGGCATCGTGCGCTCGCCTTAGACTTTTCCACGCAAAGTCGGCAATCTCATTTAGGCCGGACAAGGTGAAAATCAAAAATCATTCTGAGCATAACGTACGCCAGCTACATAAATCAAAGTGCAAGCAAATATAAAAGCCATAAAGCAAATCTCTGCCATCCATCATTCTCATGTTGGAGTGCTGTTGCCTGTTAGTGGTGCAGCTGAACAGATGAAGGCGTCGTTTGTTTTTGCTCAATTTCATTTCCTTTGCGGAAACATCGTGAGTGGCAAGAATGTTCCGCCGCACAATGCAGAAAGCAACGTAATGGCCATGAAAATGCAGTAAATGTGTATTGAATCGGTTGGTTGGAGCGTGCGGCAAAAGAAGTTCTTTGGTTCGTCTAAACCAGGACTTTGCTAATTGATTTCACCGATGTTAATTGCAAGCATCAAAAGTTCACGACGCTCGACGGCATTCAGTTACAACACACAATCGCATATCGAATTACGTCGGCTCGCTACGTTAACGTTAGCGCATAATTTACAGCGTTCTAATGCTTGGAACACAATCTGAATTAAATCATGAGATAATTATGAGCTATTATTTCAAGTGCTATTATGGTTATGTGCAAGACCTGGGCCAATTCACAAATGGGAAGAAAAGAATTTTTATGTACACTTTTGCATTGAATGGATGAAGAATCTACGATACTTTACACTTTACCGATCAAGTACATTTCGACAGATGCGTCACACATAAAACTTTTTACCATAAAATCGGAATTCTTTCTAGAAACATCTTGAGCCAAATGGGAAAGAGAGAGAGAGAAAAAAAAACGTTTGTTTCAACGCCAACGGCAGTAGACGCCAAAATTTCATTGAACTTCACTTTGGAAAAAATGAAAAGTAGAATAGATTGGGTGGAAAAGATCGACAATCATTTTGGAACCAATCTCATTTTCTGTGACCAGAGAAAATAAAGTCGTTTGTTTGCCGAAGAAAAATCACTCTGTTTTTCTCTCCATTATACTATTCGTGGTTTGATTGCCAATTATTGATTTGTTTCGAATTGAAAACGAATCGTTCTGGCCACGTCTTCCACTTGCTTCATTTGTAAATCGATTAGTCGACCGTCCTTGAGCGAAATAAATTGATTTGTGGGCATACATTGGGTAGGATTACACAAGACCAAAATGAAACCCAATGCTGCGGCTTCTGCTATCTGTCTGTTTTACTTCTTTTGTTACCTTGAACCTGACGCCGACGACAGGCCATAATGTTCTGTAGCATTCTGTCTTATTGTTGCGTTGTATTGTTTATTTTTCGCTGTCTTGATTCTTTCCATTGTAATTTGGTATGTTTCTCAATTTTATCCACGTAATTTGGTTATTTCTTTTTCTCGATAAATTCTCAAATCAAAGCTCTAATTGAATCGCTATGATCGTCTGAAATACCAACAATTTTTTTTCTCTGCTTGGAAATCGGAAGAATGAAAAAAAACTACATGAATAAACAAAGTCAATTACTCAAAAGAACAAATTGATTGAATCACTTATACTCTGAACCACCTGGAGCCGCTGCGCTGAAAATGTGCGTTGGCATGAAAATCGACCCAACTTTCCAACCTACGTGAACCTGATGACCGCATGATGAATAATGAAAGAATATTAAAATAAATTGGCCCATTAAGTACATACTTTACCATTGTTATGTTTACGCGGTTTTGCTTTAATTTCGGTTTTCGCTGCGCCAATCTACGCCGTTGAAACAATTAAAATGAAATTGGTGATGTGATTTGGCATAGGCATTTACCGTTCGTGTAGATTTACCGCTCGAAATTTCCTTTAGTACTCGTAAGATGCATCGATTCGTATTCCGGGAAAGATTTTTCAACTATCAATCCTCTTATTATCTCGTTTCAGATTAAATTGACAATTAAAGTCAGATAAAGTGCAGAAAAAAGTAATAATTCATACAAGAAACCTTGAGAAAAAAAAATCTAAAAAAAGACATGAAGATGAAGTCGCTACAGTCACTACAAGTGTATACAGTCCTATTTGTGTTCACAAGCATAGTCATATCAACGGCCAGCGGACGAGTGGCATTCGAAAAATTAACCGATTTCGATTTCTCCGGCCAAACGTACTACAGTGTAAAGAATCTATCGTTGTACGAGTGCCAGGGTTGGTGTCGTGAAGAACAAGATTGCCAGGCAGCCGCTTTCAGCTTCGTATTGAATCCATTGACACCGGCACAAGAAACACTTTGCCAATTGCAAAATGATTCGAGCGCCCACAATCCAAGCGCTGTGCCACAACGCTCTGCAAGCATGTACTACATGGTCAAATTACAGGTAAGGCAGTCCAGGGATTCTCTTTCCATTTAGAGTTTTTTTTTGTATTTTCTCTTTCAATTTCGGATTAAAACTTCATTATCAAAAAAATCATTTTTTTCGTCATATTTCATTGCAAAAATTTAAAAACGTCAATTTAAGAAGTGAAAAAAAGGTTTCTCGACTTAACATCAATCTTATTTGTTTTCGTTTCACAGTTGCGAAGTGACAATATTTGCATGCGACCATGGGCATTTGAGCGAGTGCCAAACAAAATAATTCGCGGTGCGGACAATGCATTGATTTACACCAGTACAAAGGAGGCTTGTTTGTCGGCCTGTTTGAATGAGGTTCGTTTGCATGTGGATTTCAATCTCGTGTGACATGCCCATTAATCGAATTTTCCTTCTTTTCCCACCTTGTATTCACTTTAGAAACGTTTCGTGTGCCGTTCAGCTGAGTATGATTACAATAACATGAAGTGTGTGCTTAGCGATTCAGATCGTCGAACAACTGGACAATTTGTGCAATTAGTCGATGCCCAAGGAACTGATTACTTCGAGAACTTGTGTTTGAAACCAACACAAGCCTGTAAGAATACTCGTGTCTTCCAAAATCCTCGAATTGGTGTTGCCGATGAGAAAATCGCCCAGTATGCCGGTTTGCATTACTACACGGATAAAGAGTTGCAAGTTACATCAGAGCCAGCCTGTCGCTTGGCTTGTGAAATTGAATCGGAATTCTTATGCCGTTCATACCTCTTCATGGGACAACCACAAGGCTCACAATACAATTGCCGTCTCTATCATTTGGATCACAGATCACTTCCAGATGGACCGTCGACTTACTTGAACGCAGAAAGACCGTTGATCGATCACGGCGAAGCAACTGGACAATACAGTGAAAATTTCTGCGAAAGTATGTTTTGCCTTTGAGATAAAACGATTTTCGTGAAGAAAAATCCTAAAACTTTTGTTTATTCTTCATTGCAGAAAATCCAACCGCAAGCCCATCCGAATTGCCCGTCAGTTTTGATACACCCGTCGAAGTCGATCCGAATTTAACCAATTTCACTCGATCTGATGCCAATTGCGATAAAACTGGAACTTGCTACGATGGTAAGATTACTAATACCTTTTTGAAAATGAGATAGATAATATCGAGAGCTCAACACTTCCGCGTTGCTGATGGGCAACAAAACAAACCATTTTATCTTTGCGAAATGTATACACTTGTTGAAATTGCTGTTTTTCTTGTTTTTGTTACAGTTGCCGTGCATTGCAAAGACACACGAATCGCCGTTCAAGTTCGTACCAATAAGCCGTTCAATGGCCGAATCTATGCATTGGGTCGGTCGGAAACGTGCAACATCGATGTGGTCAATTCTGATGCATTCCGTTTGGACTTAACAATGGGTGGCCAAGATTGTAATACACAATCTGTGGTAAGCAATAGGCACTTAGAACGCGTATGCACTGAACTTTTTTTTATTCGTATCTGCTTATAGAACATTGTTTGCTTGTTCTCCACTTGCTTTGTGTATCTATAGTGTTTGAAGAACACGCTTTAATTTTCTCCATTTTTTCTTCCTCCAGACTGGTGTCTATTCGAACACTGTTGTACTCCAACATCACAGCGTCGTTATGACAAAGGCTGATAAGATCTACAAAGTGAAGTGCACCTATGATATGAGCTCAAAAAATATTACCTTCGGAATGATGCCAATCCGGTATGGATCGAAACGAATTGAATGTTTTGCCTTGCGTCAAACCATATGATTAACATAATGTGTTTCTAATTTATTTGCAGCGATCCTGAAATGATTCACATCAATTCATCGCCAGAAGCACCACCACCAAGAATTCGCATTTTGGATACACGTAGCCGCGAAGTTGAAACCGTTCGTATCGGTGATCGTCTTACCTTCCGCATTGAAATTCCTGAAGATAGTGAGTTGTTGTTGTTTTCTTTGCTTTGAATCGATTTAATTCGATTTGGTTTTGTGGTTGAGAGAGAGAGAGAGAGAGCGAAACTAATTCTGCGTAAAAAATCAATTTTGCATCTAAACAGCACCATACGGTATCTTTGCTCGTTCATGCGTGGCCATGGCCAAGGATTCGAAGAGCACATTCCAAATTATCGACGATGAAGGTTGTCCAGTCGATCCAACCATTTTCCCAGGATTTTCTCCCGAAGCAAATGCATTGCAATCAGTCTATGAAGCGTTCCGTTTCACCGAAAGCTACGGTGTTATCTTCCAATGTAATGTGAAATACTGCTTGGGACCATGTGAACCGGCCGTTTGCGAATGGGGACGTGATTCGCTTGAATCGTGGGGAAGAAAGCGTCGTTCAGTTGCAAGGTAAGCATTTTATTGTTTTCTTTTTACTAATCAACTGGTTTGTGTCTTATCGAACAAGGAACAACTGTTGCAACGATCAGTTTTTCACAAAGATAATCATCTAAATCTCTTTCCACTTCTTCTTCCTTCGGCAGCAATGAAACGCAAGAAAATGACGAAGAAACAAATATTTCGCAAGAAATCTTAGTTTTGGACTTTGGAGATGAGAAGAGCGAGTTCTTGCGAAGTGGCGGTGAATCCGACTTCAACGGAGGTAAATGATCAAGTCAATTAAACACCTATCGATTTCCGAAATTCAACAAATTCATTTTCTCGTAATTTTTTTCTTTTCTATCAGACAAAACCGTTACAATAATCGAGCCATGCCCAACGAAGACGTCCGTATTTGCGTTAGCTGTCACATGTGCCTTGATGATTTTAGTATACCTTTCAACAATATTCTGCTATTTCATGAAGAAATGGATGCAACCACACAAACTGATGGCATAAACGTGCTGATATGCTTGTTAGCGTTACACCTAGACGAACTAACTGTTTAACACGTACACAATTCTGAGTATTAGGCTGGAATTATAACTTCCAATAGAACATATAGACATATTTAAAATTAATTAAAAAGAAGAAGAAAAACTATGAGCACATAATTGGAGTAGATTTTGCGATGAATGGCGCTAATTGCATTTTTTTTTAAACAAAATAAATTGGAATAAAATATGATTTTATATTTAGCTTATGGTCAAATGAAACCAACTCTAACAAACTGCAACTAAGTAGACGGATTGGTACCTATCGGTCTACTTTAGAAGAAAAGATACAACTCTGATATAATCATAGACTAGCATATTTTGTCTACTCTTTTTATTTAAAAGAAAAGTAATTAGATTAGTTTAACTCTGTAGATTTAAGGCGCTGCTAACGCAAAACATATAAGTATTTATTTTGAAAATCAGCATCCATTTATTTAAACGAAATAAGCAACATATGTGGCATTACACAGACTAACCGTATACAGCATCAAGACAAGAAAAACGGACACACCCAAGCATTTATTTAAATTTTTCTACTTTGGACGGCATTCATTTTCATCAACGTCGCACAATTCACTTTGTTTCAATGCTCATTTTTTTGATTGCTATAAATGATTGAAAAAGAAATTGTTTTAAATTTATGTTCATCATCAATCGTTTCACACACATGCATACAAAAAGGCACCTTATTTATTGATACTCTTATTCATTCCTTCTGACATTTCATTAAAAAAACTTTTCGGTCCAATAGAAAAATCGTCTTAAATCAACTAATTTTTGTTCTGCATAAACTCTCGTTTTGTCTTTGTTTTTTCGAGTGAAATTCTGAAATGCTTGGTATTCAATTTAATATTCTTATCCAATTCGCGCTTTGTCAACATAAACACTTATTTATTTATTTGAATATGGCGATCCTGAAACACTTTTCTTTAAAAAAAAAACATTTTAATGATTAAGTAAGCAACACATCAATGAGACATGAGACAACGTAGTGATGAAATCATTTTGTAAATATATGAAAGAATACGAAAATCTCACATTAATAAAAAAATGAAAGAAAAAAAAACAATGAAATTAATGATTTTATACGACAAAATGTTAAGTACTTTATTCATAATGATGAAGAATTTAATAAAATAATAATAGAGAAAAAAAGACTTGTGTTTTTCATTGCATATAAAAAAATCACTGTTTATTTCCAGACATATAAGAAAGGGACAATAATATTGTAGAATTATATGACAACCATAGAATGAAAGAACAACTTAGCTCTTTATCCATAACTGAGACGAAAAAAAACTTAGAGGAAAAACGAAGAACGAAGCAGATAAAGTTGCGTGCACAAGTGACACAACTCAGCATTGAGCGGAAAAGACGTTTTTTGCATTTTTCTCGTTATTGGAAAGAGATAGCGACTAAGTGTCTTCAGATTATTTGTAGTTCTTTTTATTTTCTACAATAATACCGAAGACTTCTAATCGTTAACTCTTTCCAGTAGCGAGAAAAATGCAAGGAACGTCTTTTCCTCTCAATGCTGAGTTGTGTCACTTTTGCCCGCAACTTTATTTGTCTCGTTTTTCCTCTAATTTTCTTTTCGTCTCAGTTATGGATAAAGAGCTCATAAGTTGTTCTTCTGTTCGATGGGTGTCATATTTATCACATGAATGTATTCATTCGCTTTTTTTTAAGCTGTCAAATTACTTTCATTTTTCCTTTTTTTATATTTTTAATTTTTTTCTTAATTTTTTTTCATTCTTCTACGCAAAAGTTATTGTTAAAAAACGAAATTCATACATTTGTTGGATTTCTCACATGGCCGCAAAATAGAATGGTGTTGGTGGTGCGTTCGACAATCATGAAAGCAAACGGCCGATTGACATAGTATTGCGAAGGAATCGATTGGAATGAAATTGATGCAGTAACTGCTGCAGCGACGGTTCCCTTTTCATTCACATCAATCACAGCCTTCTGTACGAATTGTGACACAAATGTTGCATGCTTTGATATCTTCGACAAATTCGCCCGTTTTTGATCAAACAAATCGAATAAGCCCATTCTCTGTAGAATGCTATTCAACTTATAGTCGGAGGAAATTGAGAATCGCGGTAGGTAAATTTCAAGATCTGCATCTTCTTCGGACTGATTAAGATAATCAATGATAGTGTGTAAGCCCAAAATTCGCAAATTATCGATCACTTTTACGAGTGGTACTTGTTTGTTGGGTAAGAAAACGACCATGCTGAATTTCTGATCAAATCCATAGGCAAGTTCAATGATTTCTGCTTCGAGCGATGGGACACGAATGTGAGAGCAGCCACCTTTACGGAACATCATTGGCACATTCGTTATAGTCACGCCATTTTCGTTGTAAAATGGTAAATCCCGTGTATCTTCCAATTTGAATGGATTCTAGAAGATCAAAATGATGTAATGTTAGCAAAAAAAATGTTCTAAAAAATGCTCAAACAATTTCAAAAAAAAAAAATCTCCAAAATTTCAAAATATTTTATTGAACTTGCAAGTCAATCACGATTAATTCAAGTTGTTTTTTGCAGAAAAATAAAAATTCTCGTTTTTTTTACTCTTAAACTTGACTCTCATTTCGTTTTAACCTGTTCATAAATTTTTCTAAACCAAATACACAATGACTCACTTTCCATCGTCCTTGAAAAAATATCGCCGAAACGAGCACCATATTCGCCCCGTTCAAGTCGTTCGGTTCAACGATTCGATCAATTTTGCCTTTGACTTTATCACTGACATACTTATTGATTTTGTTGACCGCTTCGAAACGTTCAATAAAATTAACTGGAAAATAATCAGCCTCGTATGTATGCTCCAATTTATCTTGAAAATCAATATCGACCGGTCGATTAATATCGCAAAATAGCACTTGATTGGATGTTAGTTCAACGGCCGTGTTGTTTTGTTCGAATGCATTTTGCAGATATTTATAGACACGACGGATTTTCGTTAAATCGGATGGCAAACGCAGCACGGTGGCTAACTGTTCATAAGTTTGACCTGACGATCCCTCTGCCAATAGCAACAGCAGTGACCAGATCGAAAGTGGCGATATAATTACATTACCACTTTTAGTCGCTTCAAGTCGGGACAGATGCTGTCGATGTAAAACCACAAATTAAAGAGAAAAACGCCATTACTGACCGTAATGAGAAACAATTATATTCCATATAAATACACATTACTTGAAAATATTCCAAAGAAAACGCTTCGGCTGATCGCGAAAATTGTACAACACTTTCACTGTTAATTGCATTATTTGTCAGCAAATCTAATGATCTATGACGTTGCAGTCCCTGCTGCAGGAATGTCGATGGAAATATTATCGATTCTCCGAATTGCTCATTTGCCAAACCAAAATGGATTGACTCACTAAAAATCCAGCACAAAATCGTAAAATATTTGAACGAATGATGAAGAGGAGGCATTTCACGTTTTATCTACCAAAATTAGACTGAAATAATGGGAATAACAACAGTCTGGACGGAAATAGAGGCTTCTGTAACAAAAACACACCGATAAATGTCGCACACACATTCAAATATTTGATGTGCTAAGTGGTGGAACTGGTTTGGCAAATTACAAATGTGTATGCGCGACTGAAACAAGTTTTATGGCTTTGATCTTATTTGCTAAAAACATCACCTGATACGAACACACACAGAGAGAGAGAGAGCAAACAAAAGAAAAACGCAAATTTCGAGCGTAATATGTGGGCATCACAGAATGTGTCAGCTGAAATATTCAACAACAGCATAATGTATGGCGTACTCCTTCGTAGAATTTGGTGAACGATGATGGTAAAGTACGGGGGTTTTTTCTCTCGAAATGTTGCATCAGTCGACTTTAGATGAGTACAATTGAATTTAGTGATTGTCATGGTATTTATCGGTTTTCTTTATTAAAAGTACTAAATGTGGACAAACGTAGCTATTGATTCTAAGTTTAAAACGTGCTAATTACATGATGAGGAAATACGGACAAGCCTATACAAGTGGATGCCGAACTTGACCGGCGAATAAAAGAGTGCTGGTGGTTTTTTCGGTGATCAAAAATCCAAATGGCCGATTGAAAACGAATTCGACCGGACTTTGTTTGAATGATACGGAACCAGATGAAACGGCCGCTGCAACAGTGCCAACCTCATTGACTTCAATAACAGCCTTGTGGAAAACACGCGACACATACGTTGCTTGCCTGGACATTTTCGAAAGATTCGCGGAAATCGGGTCAAATACATCTTTCATGCCCAAGTGCTCAAGAACGGTGCGAAGCTCCAAGTCCGAATCGATATTAAATCTTGAGGAGGAATGAAATAATGGAAAAAAGTCAAATTTAAACAAATTTTAAATAATAAAGTGTATAAACTCAATTTATTACCTTGGCAACGATAATTCAATTTCAGTCTCATCATAGTCATCAGTGTGGTCGTACTTATGGAGTTCAGCGCTAATCTTAGCGATATCGAAATTGCGCAAATTTTCAAACACATTTGTCAAAGTTGCGTTGCGACGAGGTAGAATTAAAAGCATACACAGGCGATCCTCTTTACCATAAGGGAGCTCAAGAACACTTGCATCTAAAGCATTGATTATTCCGAACGGCAATACGTTTCGTTGATACATCATAGGCACGTGAGCGACATAGTCACCATTTTCTCTATATATGAAAAAAAAGAAGCAAAATTCCGATTAGAAATAGCCATGAAGAATCGAAAAACTCAAAAGAAATAAATGAATAATTGACTTTATTCCATTCTTAAGAATGTTTAATTTGGAGAAAAAAAAAGTAGCTCGGAAATGGCGTACAACTCACCTATAAAAGGGTTGTTCTTTCGTTAGGCTCACATTGAATGGGAACTAAAAATGAAAGAGATTATATTAGTTTAATCTCTTTTTTTTGTCAACTTGAATGATTTCCTTGTCAACATACCGTCCATTGTCCTTTGAAGAAAATCGTCGATGTGAGCAACAGTTGAGCGTCAAATAAATCATCTGGTTTTACGACATCTTTAATTTTGCCCTGTGTTCTCCAGGTGATATGATCATTAATCACTTTGACCGCATTGGCAGGTGTTCGATAGTCAACCGGAAGATGATCGGCTTCATATTCGTTTTGCAAAATGCTCGCGTACGAATACTCAATTGGGCGATTTATATCGGAAAACAATGCTTGATTCACAGCCAATTCAACCGTTGTAGTATTAACCAGCAAAATACGCTGGAAAGTCTTATAAGCTGCTCGCAAATTGTTCAAATCATTTGGCGTTCGAAGCACACGCTGTATTTGATCGTATGTCTGACCAACGGCTCCTTCGGAAACTAACAGCATCAAACACCAGACGGAGAATGGTGAAATTACAAAATTTGCATCGTAATTTTGAATTGCATGTGCTATGGCCCGGTACATATCAAACGAGAATTGTTCTGCACCTTGTGAAATTGCACGAACATTTTGTGGCATGGCTGCGCCAACTCGGCTCAGAGATAACGCAGCTGGAGCCAATCGGCTTTGAATTTCGAATGGATTCGATCTGTATGGATAAGGTGGCAGTTGTGGTCTGATGAGAACATCTCTTCCATAGCTGCCATAAAATTGTGCACTTCCAAGTGCCAGCAGCGTCAAAGAACCGCAGAGTATACCTAAGTGAATGCCCTTCATTTTATTTTACCTCCTGCAAATGAATGAAGTAAACAATTTGGATAATTTTGTCAATGAAAAATATCTGAAAATTGATCGTCGAATTTGAACGTCCTGTTTATTCGACTTAAATATAGTAACTGGTCTGAATGAGTGTGTGTTTTCAAAAATTTCAATCTGATTTACTCATTTTTCGAGCTTTGACTGACGGATTGCATCACTTTCCCCCACGTGATGGGAACTATGCTTGGTTTTTCTTTCAACTATTGAAATCTGATGAATTTACACCTAATTGAATGATCTGAATGAGCGTTATTTTCTAAATAATAAGTGATGTCAATTTGTTTGAATCAATGCGGGTTTTTCATAGGTGACACAAACTAAAGCTAATTTATTGTAAATGACTAAATTTCAATTACTCGGCTTTGGAAATTGTTCGTAAAAATTTAGCCTATTTAGCTAATGTGTTTATTATTTGCGTCCGACTATTTCTCTCTCTCTTTCTCTCTCTTTGGCAATATTAAAAATGATGATAAGAGTACAGTTCATCAAAGTTCATGTTTACACACTGACACTAATTTCCCTTCATTTTGAATGGGCTTTTGACAAATTTATATGTTCGCTCTATTTCACATTGAATAGTGTGACAATTTCGTAATCCATCGAATCGGAAATTCTGCTTTCTAAACCATTTATCGTAATTTTTATTTCACCATTAAATTCACTTAATCGGAAAGAAGAATTTTTTGTTAAAGAAAAACATAAATTGAATAAACCGTTGGATCAAACAATATTTGAACTCTCAACAAAAGCATAAACTCACGGGATATTGGTAATATTTTGTTTCAGTCGACTTCAATCACACACACCTCACATTGATCTGACACGATCAGTGTCAAGAAACGAAATGAAAATGAAAGATCTCGGAAACTAAAAGCAAACAGCAAACAATATCATCAATATGTGTGAGCAACACAATTTCAATTGAAATATTTCATGCGTGATTGAATCGTCATCGATGTGAAAAATGAAGCAGAAAAAAAATGTAAATAACCCTGATACCAATAACACACACAACGTCTTGTCTTCTGAAACCCGACTGTCCGAACTGTTTCCAATGCACTGGGGAAAAACCCAAAAAATTTAAAATGTAGAATTGGTGACGGCTATCGTTTATACATTATATTCTAGACGGTCGTTTTTGAGCGATTTGTTATGTGCGACGCTCACTATCGTCTGAGCCTGCATATAAACGAGCAACGCCGCTTCGATCCGAAAAAAAGAGATCTACGAATCTGTTATGTGTTAAGGTCAAAACGACGAATTGTCAACATCACACACAAGCACAATTTGCATGCGAATACCGCCGCCGCCGCCGCAACTTCTTTTCTATGGTGGGAACCATAAGCGATGATGATTATAATTTAACATAATATGTTTGGATAGGAATTTTATCGGTCTAAATCAAAGAAAACAAAAACAAATCGAACCAAACGAAACCAAAAAAAAAACACAAAAAAGTCAAAAATCTCACTCAAAACTATGCGACTATTTGCTTGGACCTGTTCACACCAACCAGTTCCGTGAGTGTCGGTTACAGCAAAAAGATGTCATTTATATGCGACGTATTGATAGAGAAGAATAAATCCAGGGCCGAACGTGACGAAATGAGTAAGATATGCCTAGCGAGAGCAAAAATAAAATGACACAAAAAAAAGAAACAACAAAACCAACGACAGTCAAATCGTAAGAAACCAGTAATGAACCTGAGAGAGCGGTTCGTTGATAATAACACAACACACAAAGAGAGTGCATATACGGAAAACGAACAAACGAACGAGCGATGCAAGTACTAAGATTTCGATGGACAGTGTTGTTGAAATTGAAAGAGGCAGAAACAGTAACTATAATAATAATCACAAAAGTACACCTATACGTACAACCGATCTCACTGCCAGTTTTAAGTACATGCGCATTCACAAGCACAAACACGCATCGACATGAATCGTATTCGGAGCACCAGTCTAGCATATGTGTTCAGTTCATGCTGACTAGTTTTTACTCTCTTTCACTCTTTACACATATCCATTGTGAAAATGGTGTGTATTCTTTATGCTGCGATTGTTCTGTCGAATGAACATTAAGTTGGTAGCGCTTGTCTATCGTCAAACACACAAACGAAAACAACTCTTAGTTCAAACGACTGTCAAGCAGCAGCTGGTGCGTAGTTTTGTTAACGTCGACTTTGCATCGAATCAAACGAAGTTTACAATGAAATTTCATTTATTTCGATTTATAAATTGTTGTTGTCTTTGTGATGTAAATTAAAAATATCAAAATTCGTGACAAAAATCATTTTTTTCACATCGACGATCATGGGCTGGCTTTCATTGTGCATAGTATTTGTGAGCGTTTATTTGGTGGTGGCAAAGGAGCCAAACCTTTTTTTGAGTCAACAGTTTGATGTGCAGTTAAACGAAGGGGAAAAGCAATATCGGCTCATTCAATCGAACGCAAATTTGCCGCAGTACGGACGATGTTGGACCGAAGCGATTCGACAAATTGATGTGACTTGTACAGATCTTAACGAGAAGACACAAGCGATGCTCGCCCTTCGTTTTACCAAATGCTTTATGGCAATGAGTGGCGGTGACCGAGATGCAGGCTCTAAGTTAGATGCATGCGAGGACACCGAATGCATTGGAAACATGAACGAACGTGTTTTCTCAGTATACACGCACTTCTATACTCACACGCAGAACATTTGTTTCTACCTTATGCACCAAGTATGGCATGCGGAAACCGAGAAAACAATTCATTTGTTAAAGTCGCATTCACAATCGGTGAGTAAGCAGCTCATTGAACAGGGCCTGCAGCTCGAATTGGCTGGCCGTTTGCAAATCAATCTACTGACACAACAACGCGAAGGATTGAAATTACAACAGAAATTGGTGGCACATGGTGTTAATTTGTCGGAAGTGTTAAGTGATTCGCAGAACAGTTTATCGCGATTAACGGAACAGTTTCGCAATTCAACCATTGAACAGGGCCGGCAGTTGGGTGATTTGTTTCAGCGGCTATCACAGTTTCACAATTGGATCGTCGGAGAGTATACGTTTGTCGAGCAAATCATGTATTTTTCCGTGCTGTTAGGAATAATTATGTTGGCAACCACCGCAAAACGAGCAGAGAATTGCCGGTTTCTACTGTTTTTATTGGCGGCAGTGAACATTCTGATTGAATCGCTGTTTCAAAAGTATTTCGGCGCCGATTATTTCATCGAAGACTTGAAAATTGTGCTGTTTGAAAGTTTGTGGCTGATTCGAAAAGTGTTTGCCGCCGTTATGATCACGGTTTATGTGGTCATGACCGTTACATACGTTGATTCACAGAAGCTGACACTCAACTTATTACAACGGATTAATGAGCAAAACGCTGAAATTATACAGGTTTTGAAGGATATGAAGGGGAAACCGATTGAAGATTGCAGCGATAGAAACTTGCGGCATTTTGATCGACCATATTCAATGCGTAAAAGTGTTGAACGTGATGAAAATGCCGCGATATTGATGCAAAGAGCCGATGAGTATTATAGAAGATCTCGCATGACTCCATCTGTGATAAGGGAGTTGAGCGTGGACAAATCATTCGTGTCCAATGTTGGCGTCACTACTCGATTGCGATCACGACAAGCCACACCGATTCTGTACAGTTGATTGCATGATGACGTACTTAAACCATCTTCTATCTGATTTAGACAGATTAATTCAAAAGACACATCTCTCTAAATTATTCACATCTTGAAATTTCCATGTTAGCATTTAATTTAATATCGACGGAATAAAACCCATTTGCAACTTGTTTTGAAGGTGGTGTAAATTTTTCATATAGATTTTATTAGTAAATATCTTAAATACAATTAATAATTTGTATTGTAATTTAGTTGTATTACATCTTGCTTGACATTCTCATTTACTTTTTAAAACGGTTAATTTGACTAAATCTGTCGGTACGCTGTATTCATTTTTCACTTGTCTTGTGTCGTTATTTATCGTAGAGTATCAATAGAAATAAATGTGGTGTAATTAAAAAAAAATTCAAATAAAATAAAATCGAAAAAAAGGATTGCGTTCGTGTTTTTTGTTTTTTTTTTGGTAAAAATTTTGTTTTCTTTTGCTTGCACAAGTTTTTGTTGCGTCCACAGAAAAATAATAAGATTTGATGAAGGTATGATCACAAAAGAGCATACGTACGTCAAACGAAATGAGAAAGAAAAAAATATATGCATGTAATACTAACATCTAAAGATTGCGAATCCGAAAAAAATGGCATAAATTTATATATGGCAGTCGATGACCTGTCGACATCAGAATACGGTAAACACTCTTCCTATGCTCGTCCGATCATTCAGTCTCATGTACTGAAATCAAAAACAAAAATCATATTCTCTTCCGCTAATTAGTAATTGACAATACTAAATCACTTCAATCCGAAATATCAGTCGTCATCGACCAATTCCAAAACCCTTCCTAGCTTCTTTTTCTTATTTTGCCTTACACACAAATCGATGTGAGTTCATTTAACATAAAATGGCAAAAGGTTTACAACTACATTTCTTCAATATTTCTTTTTGGCCACACAAAATCAAAGCGCTACACTGATTGATGAATGAAAATATATGACTTAGAACATTTAAGGGTAAAAACTAGACAGATTTCCACTGTTCACATCGAATATTTGCTTTTCTTTGCTCATTGTTCACTCTTGGTAAGTTACTTCATTTAGGTATAGTTATAGGGTGGTGTATAATTCTTGTTTTTTTGCTGTTACTGTTTTTCCCATCATTTTCAACTAAACAATACCAATTTTATTAGCTAAGTGTAAATTTTGTTTTGGTTTCGGTTATTTATTGTTTCTCTCGGTTTCGGTAAAATAAATACGATACATTTTAATTATTTCCAGAATAATCATTATAATAAATAGAAACTAACTCTTTTTCGTCATCTTTCTCTTCGGCTCTTTCTTGTTTACTTCTCACTTTTTTTGGGGGGGTTGTAACTCTAAGTTGAACGTTTCTTCGGTTAAATTGGTAAAATTTTGGTATATGTGACATTGATTTCGTAAATCGTTACTATCATTAAATTATTATACTTGATCTAATTTATTTATATGTTGGTGACTTTGGTTACCGTCACCAGGTTTTGTTTCATCCTCTTATCGCTTTTTTTTTGGTAAATATTTTTGTTTTACTAGAAAAATAGTGTTTTCCATTTTTTGCAAACAAATTTAACTAAATAGTGTTCTTTGAGTTTGGATTTAGTTTTCACATTTTCTTTTCTACGCTTTTGGTTTTCAAAACGGAGGATTTTGTTTTTCTAAAAGATTAATTTTGTTTAAAATGTGTGTTTGTTGCTTATTTTTTTTGGGAGGGGGTCCACTTAAGTGTTTCTTTGGTTATATTCTTCTAAAGTTTTAGCAATAGTTGCTTCTGAGAAACGGCAAGATTTTGTTCCACAATGACATGTAAATAGTTTATGTTTAGCAATCCAGAATTTTTCACCATAATCAAAGCTGCAATTTTAGAGAGAATATTTTGCATTATTTAAATGATTTCAATTGAATTTAATATAATTTGGAATGATTTGGTTAAAAAAACTGATTTAATAGCATCAAAGCAAAAACTCTAGAGATTTCGTTGTGATCTAAAGAGTTTTTGCTATAAACGAGAGAGTTTCATTTATCAAAATCCTTCTTTTTTTTCTTAAGTGAATTTCCAGAGAGGAAATCATTCCACAGAACTTCAAACTTACGTGATCTCATCTCCGGCTTCGATATCTTTTGTTGCGAAAAATGCAATCTTTGGAAAACGAATGTCTTGGTGTTCATAGTAAACTCGAATTGGTACCACATTTGGCTCGCAACTGTGGTTAAAGAAACGGCTCACATTTCCATAGAAGTTGGCATCAATGCAAAACTGTTTCGAAAAGCAATGAAAAGATTAAAATTTCGTAATTTCTTTGAAAATAAAATGGTAATAATTACGCCAGATGAGCTAAGATCAAAGAAGTATGTGTCGTCAGTGCGTCGATCGGCTTCGCTATCCGTTAGTATTTCACCGGTATACTCAGCAATAAATGTTCCACGTGGTATTTTAGCAATGCCCCGCACTCCAAATCCCTTAACACGTTCGCTACACTCAAAGATTTGCATCGCAATGTTCGAACCTTTTTGTACGACTCGATTTTTGCACAGCAATTTATTGCAGCCGCAAACGTCGTTGCATTCAAAGATCATCGCCGGATCGTGGTACTTGAAATCGCTGATCAAGCGACCGTCTGGACTGTACCAATTCTGAATCGAAATCTCGCTGCATTGACAATTTTGCGTTGTGCAACTGTTCGAAAAACGAAAGAAAAAGAGAAATGGTTAAAACAGAAACAAATCCACAGAAAATTAAACAAAAACCGAGAGAACAATTAAATAAATATCAAAAGACATCAACTGGAATGAATTGACTCACTTGTCGGTGCAGGAACAGATGCGCATTTGCGACACTCGACGATCGATTTGAATCGAATTTTGGAGCAAAATGGTTTTGGTAATATATTTAAAATCAGGTATGAGTGGATCAGCGTCTGAATCACTCTGGCTTGAAGTTGAACGCGCATCACGATATTTCTTTCGTCCGACCACTTGAATGGGATAGATTTCACGACCGTTTGATATGTCTCTGTTTGAATTGGAAAAAAGTGAGTATTTTTAATGAACATTTATCGCCATTGAGAATTTATTTATAATTGAGAAGGTAATTCCGTAATTGAACGTTGATTCATAAGCTCGAACTGAATAGCACTTACTGATGAATGATGTTTTGTTCGGGCAACCCGGTAACGTTGCGAATTTGCAAATTAAATAGTATGGCACGTCCGCATGCACCATTCTCATCTGGTATACAATCGTAGGGTGCTTCGTCTGCATTGTTTGTGATGTCTAGGCTTGCTCCATGCGCCAGTAGATGCAATGCAATGCGAGTATTTTCATTTCTGCATGCGATATGTCTGCAGAGAGGAGAAAAAAACAAAAGATTTCAATGTGTCACTGTGCATGATCACAACGGAACTTCAGTCTCGATCGATATCACTTACAGAGCCGTGTCTCCGTTGATATTCTGTGCACTCAAATGGCAACCACTTTGCAGAAGAACCATGACTGTTTCGACGCTGCCGGATAGTGTGGCCCAGTGCAATGCGCTGTTATTTTCATCATCACATATTTTCGGATCGGCACCACAGTTCAACAAAGCGCTTACAATTTTATGGTTTCCAATATCAGCACCCCAAACTATGGCCGTCCATCCACCGTCGTCACGAGTGTTTAAGAACTTCTCCACCTGATACAGACTGGACGATTCACGATATGTGTTTAAAATGATCTCGAGAGCCTCATAGTTCTTCTTCTTAACAGCCATATGCAAAGCGGTCATTCCTTCCGTTCCCTGCATTGAAGAGACATTTTTTTATTTTTCACGAAATATTTTCCTTTTTCCCAAATTGAGTAAAATGATTTTAATAGAAGAAACATCAAAATTCTCTCATTTCTTACTTTAACGATGACATCGGCGCCGCATTGTACCAGCAATTTCAAGATATCATTTTTGTTGCCATCAATTGCGCACATGATCGCCGTACGAAGGTTTTGATCGAGCAAATTGAGAAAATCAATGGATGCAACGCGGCTCAAAATCAAATGCGTCATTTTCACACTGCCAAAATTCGATACTAAATGCAAGCAAGTTCCATTGTAAAACTCCTTGATTGGCGTTGAAATGTCAAAGCCACTGGCAATGATTTCGGCCATACGGTCGATATCATCTTTAGTAACGGCATTGAACACATCTTTGTTCGAATGAAGATTGCCGCGCGTGAATGGGAAGCGATTTTGTGCACGTGCCAACAGATTTACCACACTTTCAGGAATCAAGCGCTCAATCTCAAGCAAATTGAGTTCTTCGTGTGATTTAATCGTTCGATAGCTATGGGGGCCGATGCTCATTTTGGCCGGTTTTGTGAGTTTCTTTTGTGATGTGGTGAAAATTGGTACGCTACCGCAGCGCATTGTAACGATGGTTTCGCGTTCGGGTGCATCGATGCCACAGTGTGGACACTTCAAAACCAGTGTCGGGCATGTGTACTCTGGATTTTGTGGATCGAATGGTGCGTTCAGTATGAATTTCGTGGCGCAATCACGATGGAAGAAGTGATTTTTAGCGCACAACATGAATGTGCCTTGGGTAAGGAAAACGCCACAGCTTGCGCAGCAATTGTGTGACAACAATCGTTTCTTGTGACTTTCGCAGAGCAGCATGTAGCTAACACGAACGCTTGGCCGCAACAGATTGAGCAATTCACCCTCCACTTCATTTCCACAACCAACTTTTTGATCTTCAATTTGATCAACGGCCGAACAGTATGTTTCGTCGGTTTTTCGCGTGTAGAATTTCGACACTTTGTTGCACAAGCAAATGTTTGAGTCGGCCTCTTTGCGAATCGATAGCGTCACTTCGGATGTGATCTGATGATGATGTTCCATCGGTGTTGATTTGCGCAATTGAGCCTGTGATGATCCGACCGCTTTGTGTTTGGTGCTCGATATCAAACTAATTTCGGGATTTCGCGTTATCAACTCCTTCGAATGACGATCCAATTGATCGATGAGTGCGGTCGGCACTTTTTCGGGCAACTTTTTCTTTATTGTTTTGTCACGAACGGTTCGTGCCTTATTGATGTGCTTGTCATAGATAACAATATCCTTTTGGCCACGCATACGCAATGTTACGCTCGGTCGACCGACATTAATTTTCTGTTTTGGAACAAAATCTTCATTGTCATCCGATTCAATGCATCCATCGGAGGATGAATCTCCGTTGCCATGTGATTTCGACACGCGTTGCAGCCCAAGCTTGTGGAAATGCCTTTCTTTGAGCTTGATCAAGCGTTTCTTCTGCTTAAAATTGAGCTTCTTGTCGAGTTCGGGCGATCGATGCAAATTGATTTTCGCCAATTTGATCTCATTCAAAAACTTTTCTGGGTCAGGGCATGGTTGACGCACCGGCCGTACTACTTCATACGTTGGAGTGTCATTTGAATTGCTCGACTGGCGTTTTGGTGGTGTGTTGGATTTGCGACGGGTTACCACTTGTTCGATGCCATTTTGTACCGATTCAGCGTCAGTCTTTGTGTTCGGCGGAGATGGAGGTGTGCTTGGTGGTGATTTTCGCTTTGGACTGCGCTCCAGCTCATTGTCCAAGTGCTCGCTGCTCAGCGATAGACGCGCATTATTCTGGATTTCGAATCCTTGCCGAAGCTCCTCATTGGCCAAAATCTTTGGTGTGGGCTTAATACGACGTGATAAACGCTGCTGCGGCTGTGCCTGATGAAAGAAACATTAATGAATAAAATGAGTTCATACTTTTGACACTTTTCTTTTGAAAAAAAAAATTATTTAAAAAAAACAAGCGAAATGAAATTGATGACTAAAATTGGTTTGATAGCATAACAATGATGGTGATGAAAATATAATCAAAGTAAATGGTCTTATGCCAAATGATCGATTTGTCGCTTACCTGTTCAGCAGCTGCTTTGTCCTTTTTCGGAATGGTGTAAACAAATGGGCTTTCATCGTTGGTGAATCGTGGTGATTTTTTGACGGGTGAGTTTCGTGTTGCAATGGTCATGTTTAATTTTAAATTGGCTTTTGCTTTGGATCCTCCTGGTTTTCGGCCACGTTTGCGAACCACCACATTACCATCGCTGCCATTCGACAAATGATCCTCATGATTTGTGTCAGTCGGTGGTGCGTCAATCATTTCAACATCATCAACGACGTTCTTTTGGCTATTTACACATTTCTCATGCTCGGTTTTCGTGTCGCTTTCGTCTTTTGCGTCAACCTCCATTTCACTTGGCACCAATTTATCGTCACCACTTTTTTCATCTTTCGATTCGGTTGCGTTGTCCGGTGATTTTTTATCGTCAACCGTTCGTTTTCGCGATCGTGTGGCATGCTCTTTGTCCATATTGGATTTGTGTTCAGTTCCATCGATGTCTGATTTGCTTCGATCGTCTGGCTGACCTTGAGCCACCGCTTGATCCTTTTGATCGCACGGTGTGGATGTGTGCGTTCGTTCGCTACGTCGTAATTTCGGTGGTGTTGGTTGTGTGTGTCCATCGTCTACTTCGTTTGCAATTGAATTTTTGCGTTCACTTCGTGTCTTTGGTAATGAATCATTCGATTCGTCGGCCGCACTCTTCGATTGAACTTCAACACTGCTTTCTCGGTCACTTTTTTTGGCACGACCACGTTGTCGTGTCATGATATTGTTTCGATTGGCCACCGTATCTATGGTTGTTATTGATTTTTCCTCTTTTTCCCCACGCGGCGATACCGATCGATTTTCACTGGCCGATCCAGCCGATGATTGTCGTTTCGGTCGTAAACCGACTTTTCTGGTTCGGTCCACATTCAATACACCTACATCGTCATTTGTTGTGTCGTCAGCATTTTGCTTGCGACGCAATGTACGCCTAAATGGCCGTTGATCATCGTCTTTTTCCTTATCATTATTTATTTTTTCCATTTTATCGGCACTCACACTTTTGGTATCGTTGCCAACCACAATGTTCTCTTCACTTTTTTCACTGGTCGTCGCCGTTTGCGACGACTCAACAACAATGGAATCGATGTCGTGGGACTTTGTCACATCTGCTGCTGTTGCAACATCATCTGCATTAACAGTAACACTAACGCTATCGTTCATTAATGGCGGATCGTCGTCCGTCGTTGTTGCCGTCGTCGTTGACGATGTATTCGGTGCTGCTGCTTTTTCACTTCGTTTGATATCTTTACGTTTTTTCACAGCGGCATACTGATTATTATGTAAACCTCTCCATTTCAATGTTTTATCTTCATTTAAATTGATCTGTAAATCGGCATTGGTTTCGTTGAATTTCGATGACATACTTGTCAGCAAATCGATGAAATCGGTCATCGTTGAAGCACTGAATGGCGACTTTATATTTTCAACTCAACGCTTTTCTATTAGCTCGTTTATATTTTCTTTTTTTTTCTTCTTCTTCTTCGTTTCTTCACAAATGAAAAGCACCACCCGAACACATACACACCAAATTCAATTTGGATGGCGAATTGGTGAAAAACAAAAGACACACTTCTTTTTCACCCGTCGACGAAGATGAGCGAATAGGGAAAAAAAATCACACTCGCTCACGAATTGATATTCTTCTGTGTTTTGACTTGATGCTTCTTCACATTAGTTCTGCACACGACACACGAAAAAAAAGGAATTTTACACAGCACACACAGTGTGAGAGTGAAAAAAAAACACCTAAAGTTGCAGCATGATTGTAAATGTATGGAAAATATGTGTATTTTCTATATATATAAAGAGCGAACAACGACGGCAACGGCGAGAGTAGAGCACAATATTTCTGAATCGTCGTCTATCTATCATTGTGCTTGACGTTGCGCTTGTGTGCCTCTGTGCGAGAGTTGCTCACACAATATTTACCACTTTACAAATCCTCGATTGAAAAACTCTATTTTTTTTCTCGTTTCTTTCTCTCTTACTCTGTACGCCATACAGCGCTACTTCGTCGATGAACACGAACGGCGGAAAAAATCGAGGTATGAAGTACAAAAGACTGAGTGCTAGGCTAGAGGCCAGAGTCAAAACTCTCTCTCACTCTCATTTATGCACACTGTACCGTTCACACAAATACACGCATTTGTGTCGTCGTCGGTCGGTACGCCATCATCGGGTACATTGGAAACACTACGGTGTTTGGCCGTGAGAGAGTAACACACAGAGCAGCAGCAACCGAGCACACAGAAAACCATGAATGAGCGACAGAGAGAAAAAGAGCACAAGAGTGAAAGAATAACACTAGCAACACGCACGAGCCAATTTTCACAAATTCTGGATGCAATTCGTTTATTATTTTTATTTACACTATGCGAATTCGTGTCGATAAATCGGATATTTTGCCAACCAACAATCGGTGTCGACCATTTATGATGCGATTTCAGCCAACCAAATTGAGCTGATCGATCGTCATTTCACGTTGGTCGAATTGGTTTTCTTCTTTTTCGACACTGACACACAAACTCAGACGGTTTTTTTTCAGTTTTCGTCTCTCACTCTCACTATCACACTTACTCTCGCTCTCTCCGCCAATCGCACAGACTGACACCAGAGAGACAGAGAGAAACAGACAGACGATAGAAAAAACAACAGTGTAGATTTTTAGTTGGGTCCGTATTGGTTGTTTTCGCTTTTAATTGGAAGATATGCGATGCGCCAGAGATCGCCACGGCATTTTCTATTCCACTTGTCTATGCGATGAAATTAACAATTAATTTCGCTTTAAATGCCAATTTAATATGCAGACGTAGTGCGAACAATGGAAAAAAAATAGTGGAGAATGACTTTTGTAATCGCTCTAGATGTGTCAAACATCAACGAATCGTTGCAATTGACATGAGATTTTTTGTATGCATTTTTTTTTTCGTTCACAGCCTCCTGCTGATTGACAATTTCGAGACGTTTCTGCTGACTTTTTACAACAAAAACAAATGACAAGCGTCCACCTTTGTTTGTGCAAAACAATTTAAGATTCGTGGTTGTTGTTTTTCTCTATTTACAACAGGCGTAATTCTATATATTTTCCGATCCGAGCAACAGATGGCACTTTCAACCAATCGTTTATCACCGCCGTGGAGAGTTAGTCTTCTCTCTCTCTCAACCATCTCAGTGGCAGGCAAACACACACACTTACAAACGGAGGCCGAGAGAAAGAGAGAAATATTGTAACTGTAAATGTAACGCATGAACCATTTATGTTATCACTTCTTGGCATGGAGATCGATCGGTGATGTTGTTACCATTTCAATGTGTCGTGGCCAAATACCAAATATGATTATTTCCAAATGCGACTCATGGAAATTAATTGGCATGTCGTTGTTGTTTTTACGAATAGGCATATTTTTTCCCAATAGAAAATCGAAAGATTTAATTTGTTGAAGTTGCCATTGCATTGTCATTCGTTCGTTTGAATGAAGTGTTAACTCAGCATAAAATGATAAGCGAAGCACAAAAGCACAATTTGTTATCTCTCCTCATTCGCATTTCGATTGAATGTGGAATTTTCAAAACAACATTGTTACTGCACAACGTGGAATGACGAATGGAAGAAGAAAAAGAAAGAAAAAAAAACATCCGAATGAAATTCAATTCGACAAAAATGCATACACAAGACGCATGCCGTGCTAGAACGACACGCATACAAATGCTGCGCTGCTACTGCTACTGCTGCTGCTGCTGTGTGATTTCTTTTCCGTCGTATTTAAATCACGTCCACGTCCATTGAATTTGATCAAAACGGCACTGGGCAAACGAACGACGGAAAAAAGATACGTAATGCGGAGTAGCGATAGAAAAAGAATAGCACAATCTTTGGTATGAGCTGATGTTTTCGTTCTCTCTTTACTCGGTTCGGCACATTCCGCTCCGTTGTGTTTGTGGATTTTTTCTTTCGTTCATTCGTCTCCTGTTTACGTTTCGGGTACGTTGGTGCTCATTCGATGGTCTCACTATTTCGGTGCACACATACGTTGCGGCTCTCTTCTCACTCATCTCGTGATCTCAAATCGCAGATCACGCTGCTCTCATTTCACCCGAAAACTTTACTCTCTCTCTCTCTCTCTCTCTCTCTCTCTCTCTCTCTCTCTCTCTCTCTCTCTCTCTC